GCGAGCACCTATGAAGGCCGGAACGGCACACGAGGGGGTGGGTGGCCAGCACCACGCCCAACCGCCTTTGTCTCCCTAGTGGCGATGTTTATACACCGCACCAGGTACTCATTTGAGGCTGAGTCGACCTAGGGGAGGCTCGGGACTGGTTCAGATAATCGTCACTGGTGTTGGCCGTGAGCGGGGGAATAGAGCTCGTGTCGCTGGGTTCATAGCGCAGCACGCTCCCCGCTACACTACCGCTACCCGGTTGTGTACCTCCAATGATCCACAGCCATTATGGCTCCAATTGTGTGATTTTTTTGTAACTATGCGATTAATGGAAAAAGTTGCCCTCTGGTCTATAAGTATCATTAGACACATGTCTCAATAAACCAACACGTGGCGTGGATGTACTTTGTAACAAAAAAAACATGTCTGCTTCTGTTAAACTTAGTGTTATGGCAATAAGAGATACGAGTGTAATAAAGTTAAGATTATTCAATACGCCAGTGCAGCTCTTGAGTGGTTTGATTCATTAAACAGTGCATTGTATATTAAACATGCCATGTGGTCTATTGATAATTTCTCCCCCCCAAAAATCACTTTTTGGGGGTCAGGACTCCTTGGCAATAACTGGTTCGGAAGGAATATACCAGTTGTTACTTTACACCTTGACTTTTTTTGTTGAGGGTGCAAAGCAACACACATCTTTATCAAGTTAGCCGCTGAAAATACACTTTTAAATAATACACCTGAATTATAAAGAGCTAGTGTAATTGCCTGTCGTATGACGGGTTAATACAAATGTAATGTAATGAAAACGTGTAAAATGTAAAGATTTTATTGAATTTATTTAATAAAAAATCTCTTATCACATTTTGTGTGAATTGACGATCATCTCCCAAACGTTTTTCTTGTTGAATCAGCACTTTGATGTTGGTTGGATGTTTGCAAAGCAACATCAAGTTGTCCATGGGAAGAAAACAAGGTTCGTTGAGATAAAGTCCAACAGACTCACAGTTTGTCCTTACGACTTATTGACAGTGATAGCAAATGCAGGAATGATTGGAAACTGTGCCCCCATTGAAACGGCTGTATACTCTAAGGACCTGAAAACTCAAATTTACCTGTAAAAGAATACAGATAAACCGTATGGGTTGACAGGTATGTCAGTGAAACTGGTTAGGGTTCACGGTTAGATTACTTGTTAAACTTATTCTTACAACCTCTTTCATATCAAATTCTAAAACCCACTTAAAAACTCGAGACAATGTTGGTGCATTCAAATCAAGGCCGTAGCCATGGAGTCAACATTCGGGGGACCAAATCTTCCAGGGGGTCTGGGGGTCGCCCCCCCAGAAAAAAAAAGTCTAATTTGAAAACTCATTTCCTGCCATTTCCTGCCTAAAATATTTAAAAATTCACCAACACATAGGATAGACTTTTAATTTATTTTGAACAATAATGTCTAATAGTGTATTGTATTACATTGCTATGTTTTTTTCTTTTTAACCTGTATGTATTGGCAGAGATGAGGGATTAATAAAGTACAACCATAATTACAATCATATAAACAGAAATCTATTTTATAGCAAAATATATTGGGAGGGATATTTTGAGCATATTTGGGGATGTGTCCCCCCCAACAATGGCGTAGCTAGGATATTTTGCGCCCGGGGACGAACTATAAAATTGGCGCCCCCCCCCCCCCCCGTTTAATCACATACCAAAATGTAATTACATGACATGTAGGCTGTGTGTGGCGGGATATATAAACTTTTAGGTTGAAGTGTAGATTTGTGCAGTAGTTTCAGGCTGCCGCGCCCGCCGCAATAAGTTATAATGTGACGTTGTAAGCCTCATTTTGGCGCCCCTTTACCTTGGCGCCCGGGGACACGTGTACCCCCCTGCCCCCCCTAGCTATGCCTCTGCCCCCCAATATATATTATAATTACGGTCTTCATTCAAATTTACAGTTTGTAGCTGTAAAGACTGTTAACAATAGCGAGGCAGGATAATTGAAAAGTTGTTTTCTTCCAAGGAGAAGCATTAAAACAGTGTGCGCACACTACAAGTATTCATTGTAATTCTTCAAGATTTAGAAGGCCCACATTTTTAAATCCTTTATATTAAGTTCACTTGCTTGCTTGCGCGCTTACGACCGTGCAAATCTTTCGGTCGTTTTTTAACCCACTTCCCGTGATCCAATCGAGCTGACATTTTGCATACAGACTCGTTGTGCGTGACAATTTATTTTCGTGAAAAAAATTCCAAAATTTTACACTTTTTAGGAATTTTATTTTTTATTTTTAATTACCAATTGCTTAATGGTGGCAGGCAATCATCTGACCCATAGGTGGCAGCCATCTCAAGCCAGAGGACGAGAGGACTCTAGCCGCCACGCATATAAAGGATTTATAGTGAAAAACTTTGTTTTTACGGGTTAATTTTTTAGTGTTCACCACAGCTTTTTTTTTTAAACATCAGCATTGTCGTTTGGTTAAATATGTGCAATGAGTTTTGCTGACATGGTACAGAATTGATTTGAAGCTTTCGTGACTGCAGGAATCCATACTCTGGTTCTTTCGGTAAAGTTACGTAGGTAGAAAATAATAAAAGAAAACACGACGTTTCGGTCGCAACACAAGCATCCGTCTTCAGGTGAGAACATGATCTGCTGTTGTGGCTTTATATAGGCACGGGAGGGGGGGGTTGTCGAGTCGTGGCTGTAGGAGTTCACGGGGGAGATGGGGGGGGTGCAAGCACAGGTGGGGCTTGAGAAATTAGCAAGTAAAGGAGCTCGAATTAATAATCGGACGACAACCGGGTGGGTGAGTGAAAATCACAGCAGTTAAAACTTGTCGCGGTTTATCACATTCTTCCAATGATTGCTCAATCTGAATCCATCTTCTCGATTAAAGTTTTGTCTGTGTTTGTATATCTGGATGGCTTCATGAACAAATCTCTGATGGTGGCCAGAGGGTTTGCAGAGCACCTTGGTCTCGGAGAAAACAATGTCATGTGTGCCCACAGCGTTGAAACAATGATCCGCCACCGCCGAGGTGTTGGTTCTGCCGTATTTCAAATCCGCTTTGTGTTCGTGAGCCCGGTCTAAGACACGTCGCTTCGTTTCACCAATGTAACTGCTGCCGCAGACACAACTCAGCTTATAGACACCAGGTCATTGCATGTCCGGAATCGCATTGTTCACCGATGGGATCAAATCACGGATTTTGTGTACTGTATTGAACCGAACTTGGATCTTGTATTTGTTCAAGATTTTGGCAATCCTTTTGGTATCCCCTATGTATGGTAAGGGGATGGTTTTAATTGGGTCCTCAGATGGTTCTCTACCCATGGGATGCAGCTTTGCGGATTGTGCGGTCAGAATATCCATTCCTCCTGAGAGCCTGGCATACGTGTTCAAGCTCACTGGCTAGGTGGTGCTGGTCAGAGATGGATTCGGATTGAGCAATCATTGGAAGGATGTGATAAACCGCGACAAGTTTTAACTGTTCTTTGGTTTTTTCGGTAAAGTCACGTATAAAAATAAAATAATAAATTAAATAATAGCATACGACGTTTCGATTGCAACACAAGCAATCATCATCAGGTATAATGATGATAATGATGATTGCTTGTGTTGCAATCGAAACGTGGTATGCTATTATTTAATTTATTATTTTATTTTTATACGTGACTTTACCGAAAAAACCAAAGAATAATTCCTGCAGTCACGAAAGCTCCAAAATTAAGATTGAAGTTTTAACTGCTATGATTTTCACTCACCCACCCGGTTGTCGTCGTCCGATGACTAATTCGAGCTTTCACTTGCAAATTTCTCCAGCCCAACCCGTGCATGCACGCCACAACCCCCCCCTCTCCCCCCTGCCTATATAAAGCCACAACAGCAGATAATTTTCTCACCTGAAGACAGACGCTTGTGTTGCGACCGAAACATCGTGTTTTCTTTCATTATTTTTTTCTATCTACGTGACTTTACCGAAAGAACCAGAGAGTACGGTACAGAATGTGTCCATGCTGAGGTCTCGAGTTAATACTCTCCACTTATTAACCTGCTACAGATACAATATGAGACCGGGCATAAATAAAAATGTGCACACATCAGAAAGTACGATCAACGCTGCCCTGAAACAGCGCTTTGCGGCTGCTGGCACAAGAGGAGCACTGGCACACCGACAGAACCACGCGGCGATGGAACATGCGGAGGAAATACACGGTGCTGTGGAGGAACTCGAGTGCAGAATCTGTTACCTCATCTACCATCCTCGGACGAGAACCGCCAAGTTGCTCCGCTGCGGCCATACATTCTGCAAGACTTGCCTCATCAAGCTGTCTTCTCACGCCTACACTCAAGGCCTCATCTCTTGTCCCTACTGCCGCCAGGTGACCGTGTTGAAGAAGGGAGGTCCGCTCGCTCTGCCCATCAACAAAGGTGTAATGGAAAACCTGGCAGCGCATATGCTGAAGAAAAAAGGTGTGAAGACCCAGCGCAGTGAGGTGGTGACATCGATGGACCATGTCGGGTTCACGGGCCTTAGAAATGCATCGCTTCAGCCCATCTACAGCATCAGTGGGACTGTGCCTTGGACCATTGCCTCTGCTACATCAGCTGCTGGAGACTCCAGTGGAATGCAGGACCACAATGCGTACGTCGTACCAATAGAACTCGTGCTCTCACGGCAGCAAAGCATCCACCAGAGGTGCAGTTTGCTCATCGTGTGCTTTTCATTCATCTTCGGAATGCCCCTGTGTATGGTAATTTTGTTTATATTGTGTGGCTGAATTGAAATGTGGCCCATACAATATTTATGCAATGATAGTTTACCAGTCCATACATGGAGGTGAATAGAAGTGAACCAAAACAAACCATTTACCACATCCACAACTTGACAATTAAATCCACAAGCAAAGATGGAAATCGTGAATGTTTATTCTTTCGATTGAAAGGTTCAAGTGCATGAATTTGTATGGGTTTTATCAAGTTACCACGGAACTCGATCATCTCAAAGTTGTTGGTTAACTTGACTCATCAGTACTTTAACAAGTGGACATATCATCAAGAATGGTTGTATGTGATCCGTGTACAGGTGGTCTCGACGTGGGTCGGGTGATGTTCACTGAACAAGCATTGGATCGGGTGCTGAAAGCCTTGTTAGTTTGTAAGCCTGGCTAGCTAAGACTACAATGCATATGCAACACATCTTATTAATCTCTGACATTAACTATTGCACTTACAAATATAAGCTTGATAATGTTCAGAAAGAGTTTTTTACAAAAACTTTCTGAAACGCAGCTCATAGCTTCACAATTATCATTACCTTGTAAAACTGTGAAATGTACATTGTTAAATTTCAATCTAAAGCTTTCGTGACTGCAGGGATTCATCTTCTTGGTTCTTTCGGTAAAGTCACGTAGAAGGGAAATAATAAAATTATAAAAATTAAACATAATAAAATACAATTCTCACGACGTTTCGGCCACAACGCAAGCAGCCGTCCCTCAGGTGAAGAACAGGGCTGTACATTGTTACCTTAATTTGTGAAGGGGTTACCTTTAACTCTAATAAATGAATTTAAAAGAAATGTTACGAGTTATTATAATAACTGATAAACAGAAAAATTACAGAATTGTAATAACAGTACATATCACTGCTGTATCTAAAACAGCATATTAACTTGGTAATGTTAAAGCCTCCAGAGAAAACGATTACTGGTACATTAAATGTAATTGTTGGCCTCTCTTAAAACAAATGCAATCTTCAATAGTGCAAATTTACTTTTTATTCAATGAGCATCATTTATGTTTAACATAAGTATAAATAACGCCGAGATACAAGAAGACTTAGAGCATTGCGAAACATGTTTAAAAAAGAAATTTTATCAAAGTGGTCAACAAACATTAAACTTGGAAATAACATTACAACGTGAACAATGAGCCACACATTTACATTGTACACTCTTGAAAATTACTGTACATTTACAATATGTTACAACTTACCTACAAAAAAGGCTAACGTACAGAAAGCCTATCAGTTACTAAAAAGTATCAATATGGGAATTCTGAAAAATACAGATGTACAGTATAAAGTTGATTAGCAAGTACATCTGTGAACATCAGCTATTGGACCAGATACCGGTCAATTCAATTATGCGGCAAGAGCTAATCCAATCAAGTGTCACGCTCCAGGTTATATTCAACTCTTGGGGAGTTTCATGACACATTTGCACCAGCCATATCCATCACGACGCCCTGATCTATGATGCTGTGCTGCTAACTGCAGCGGTCTGGCACATCTGGTGGGGTTCTCACTGGGAGCACGAGAACCTTTCAGATGCTTTCAGACGGAGGATTTTGGCCTCCAGATTTTGTAGCCGCTCGTCTAGCCAGTCTGGGGGGACCCTCTGCTGTAAGAGTCGGCTCAGCCTGTCCAAGCCACACTCCACCTCGCCGAGGACTTGAGTCAGGGCCAATCGCACACTCTCCGAGTCAGCGTTCGTATCTTCCATCCTCGCCCGCTTAGCAGGTGCCTGGATCAAACGGGATGAACAAGTAATGACATGACATCAGGCAACGTGTTAATCTTTTGTCATTGTTCCTTAAATGCCAACAAATATGCAGTCACACTCCTATGATTTTAAGTGGGAAAGATGTGTGCTTGATGTAAACACATTATCCAAACTATGCATTTAGATCAATCATAATGGGACCAACATTTTGTTTTGTTTTATGTTGATATCAATATGCTGTGTCAGCAGAGTGCACGTACTAAATTAGAAGCGAGAATAATTTTTCGAAATTCCGAAGCCAACAAATGCTTATAATTTACAGTGGACTTCAAATGAAATCTTAGTCGGAACTTTCAAAGAAAGAAAAAGATTAAGTGCACAGTGCTTTTGGAAGAGCCATAATGTTATTGTGCAATGCTTTCAATGTAGCAAATAAACCAATGACGAAACTTGGCTTCATGATGACTCAATGGCCTTGTGCTTTGGACCTACCTCAACACTGGGAGAAGGTGCTCTCTGATGTAGATTTACTGGCACTGATGACTGTGTATGCCACTCTTCCAGCACAAGTTGTTCTTGCTTTAAATATTGCACTTGGGATTCGGTGCTTTGAGCAGAAACAGTTTCCTTCAGAAAAGAATAAATGAAGAGCGAACGACAAAGTGAAGAAACAACAATGTTATTTTATGACTCACACAAACATGGATGTATGCACTTTATACCTATCACTTGTAGGTAAAACGTCGTATCGTAAATTTTGAAAGAAAAGTTTCCACACACTCTGTCTTGCAAATTCACATACTTTGGCATTAACTTTTAGATTAAATTGAATGCTGGTCCTTGGAGTTAATATTTACGATTGCTTTGTTTTACTTCCAGCATTGCATTGCTTTTAGCGTTAGAACACAATATTAACATACTTACTTTGTTCAGATATCCAACAACCTTTGACTTTATCTCCTCCGTTCCCAGGCAGAGGGGTACCACAAATTCATGGCTGGTTTCCTGATTTTTTTGCAAGGAAGAAACAATAATTAAATAAAATATCACCCTTTATTGTAACTGCACATAGATATCAAAGTTTCATCTCTTAGTTAATGACAAAAACGTCACAATGCTGATTATTCAATAACTGTGTTCCTGAGCTATGCATCTAGATGCATGACTTATTAATTCTAAAAGGCTAGGCATTGTTTTAATTATTGAAACACAAATGTACTGCTTTGCCAATACTGTAACATGCCTCGACTCGCTACCAAAATGCAACAAAACCAATTATCAAACGGGAATCCTAATTCACAAATTTCACAGCTGCAGAAAATATCCATAATGGGTACTTTAAACACAAAAAGATGGGACCAATTGCAAAAAATAAGATACGGATTAAAATATTCACAAATTCAACAACCGGTCATCTGGTATGCAGCGCATCTTCAATGAATAACTGCACGTAGGGCGCTGGTTTAGACTTTAGACAGTAGCTTGCTGACAAAGCCAATGCTGAATGCTCACCTCTGCAAACCGAGTGAAAGCTTGCAGGGCTCGGTGATGTACCATCCAGTGGCTGTCAGCCAGCATGGAGGAGAACAGGGCTGGTAGCTTGTTAAGAACCTTAGACTGCGAAGGAATAAAATCGCAACACTCCATAATCCACGAGGCTAAGCAGGGCTTACCATCCAATAATTAAATTAAGGCAGCGTAGATGTTGCTTACAATATGCTTTTCCTACATTTATTGGGGAGACTATTTTAAGTAGATATGAAATATGTATATTATAACCTTAATATCATACAAGAACAACTCTACTATCCTGACATAATGTCTGTAAATTAGTAGCACAAGTATGACATGCTTATTATTCATTTTAAGGATTGTATGAATACTAATGTATCCATTGTACACGCAGCACCTGTAAGGTTTGGTGATGATAAACTGGAAAAGAAACACATCAAAATCATTTGAGTTCAGCCTGAGCCAACAATGTTGAAATCTATGAGTTATAGAATAAACATACCCACATGAATAGACAATGATTTACCTGGTGTTCTGGAGGAATAACCTTATTTCCCAGGGTACCCAGGAAATCCAGCGCTGCAAGTTTCAAGCAAACAGCTGGCTTCATGCTCATTACCAACTCCAAGAAATTCACAATCTGCAATGAACATAATATATTTATAAATATTTAACAAATCACCCACAGTTTATGTTATTTTCAGAATGCAACATGTTTCTGTCTTCATATAAAGAAGGACAAATGTATGTTAAAGAAGTGGTATTTAATTAAATAATTGTACGTCTTTCTAAATATACAAATATATGTCTAGCACCTGCTTTATTGTTTGGGTTTGCGCCAGCAGGGAGTGATTGGGATATGCACACAACTTGTATTCTTGATCCTGGTTGTAAGAGTTAAATGCACAACTTTGCCTAAAAAAATTTAAACACACACTTGCACTATGTGGATAATACGTTAATGAGTAATGACCCCCACACCAATAAATACCTGTATGATGATGTTGTCTTCCAGACTCTGTATAAGCGCAGCACACAAGGCTAGCAGAAGGCAGGCTCGCTGTCCAACTGAGTGCACAGCTACTACCTGTATGCATACAAATTCGTTTATAAAACAGGCAACTTAACTTCACACTGGCAAGTAACCTATGGGTTCAATGTACCAAGAAATAACCTCAGAAAAACTTGTATTTCTTCAATACATAAAAGCCGAACTCGGTTCTGTCTCCACACCCAAAAACATATTTTTTACAAATCCTGTAGGCTTTATGAGATAAGATGTAAAGTGATCGTACATGCCTCGGCGCATAGGGCACTATATCCAAAACAAAATGATTTCCATTACTGATATCAATATGATCAAGCAGCACTTGTTTAAACAAGCAAACTTTTGACTGGTTTCAACCATCTGGGTCTCATCAGTAAATTATGGTATTAAGTCAAAATCATTCTTTACAATCTTTCTGCAATGTCGCTTATGATTATTTCAGTCAAAAAAGCAACGTTTGAAACAATGGTTGAGTGAATATGACTGACACAAATAAAAAATGCAGGACAGTACAATCAAAACTCATAATAGAGAGCACCTGTGTGGCCACGGTGATCTCCCAGAGTTGAGAAACTAGAGGAAGCAACGATGACTTTTCCAGATCCTCTGGGCTCAGATCAGCATCTTGGCATAGGTGTAGCAGGCAGGAGAGGGCAGTATTCTACAGATAAACAGCAAGTGTGAGCTTGCTACAGTGCTTTAAAGGAAGCACTACAATACCATTGCCACCATCAGCCCAAAGCTATCCACTGATAGATGAAGGCCTCCCCAAGCCATCTCTCATATTTTAGCGAAAGCAAGACTTTTTAGCATTAGTGATAGGTTTTTACCCTTTCAACTGGTACAAAAACTGACACCTTTATACAAGGCATCATGTTTGCAATAACCACAACACAAGTAGTCAAAATGTAAACAAAAAGAAACAACTCTGATAATGATATGCACTGTCCTTGAAGTTGATTGGTCCACACCCGAGACAGCTTTTCTTAGAGCCCAGTCTCCATTGATGTTGGACCAGATGACGCCAAAAGGTGTACAACTCAACAACAGCGCACTATCAGAGTATTGAGAGCTCGGGGTAAGCATTTTTTGTACCAGTTGAAAGGGTAAAAACCTATCACTATATTTTGCCACTGGTAAAGGAGATGTCTCATAGTGTAACTGTCTAGCATTGTACACGAGCTGATTATTTTGCTCCATCTCTGCAGTAGACATGTTCCTAGGCACTGTTGTTAAGACTCCACAACCGAACATCACTTTAAGCGATGTCTTCTGCCCAGGCCATTTTACACTGCTGAAGTCAATATGATGTCATATTCCTCTATCTATCTCTCATTGCAAATATAAGCATGCAGCTCTCCTTAGTTCTTTACATGTTTTTCTAATTTTTTCTACGTTTTTGTCAATTTCCATATTTCTGATCCACGTCAGAGCAAACGATACACACCGATTATCTGCCAGAGAAACACAGCTGGAAAACACATCTGAGTATGTGTATCTTGGGAAATTATGGGAAGACAGACCTGGATCAATATGATGAAAGAGGCTAACCAGAGCAGGCATGCTTTTGGAAAACTGAATAAATAATGAAAAGCAATATACGTGCCTTAACTTGCAAGACACGTGACAAACATAGCATTAATATCAGGAATGCTAAACAATGTGGATTCTCAATTGGTTGTAAACTTTCCAGAACACAATGGAGTAGATTGTGCTGTTAATGTGTGTGCATATATGCAACAAAATTATACATCAAAGCATTTAAGCAACAAGGCTGGTCTTGAAAGCAAAAGGCCTTTAGCCTTGGATATCATTGGCAACAGTCGAGAAAAAAAATATAATGAACATTTTAGCTGCCAAATTTAAACGTTCGCATTTTATCTTTGTCAAGATGCGCCACCAAAAGCGTGTTGTCCAAAACAAAGAATCGTTTAAATTTTGATTTAAAGCTTTCGTGACTGCAGGGATTCATCTTCTTGGTTCTTTCGGTAAAGTCACGTAGATGGGAATTAATAAAATAATAAAAATTAAACATAATAAAATAATTCTCACGACGTTTCAGCCACAACACAAGCAGCCGTCCTCAGGTGAAGATGCTGTCTTTCCGACAGACCTGTTCTTCACCTGAGGACGGCTGCTTGCGTTGTGGCTGAAACGTCATGAGAATAATTTTATTTTTATTATTTTATTATTTCCCTTCTACGTGACTTTACCGAAAGAACCAAGAAGAAACAAAGAATCGTTTGTACCGACATACATAACGTACAGTTGTGGGGTAACAAACAGAACATGGGGATACAATGCACTCCTTTCATGCCACTGCTGTCGTAGAACTTACGAGGCCTGATCTTTGCTGCGGGGAGGAGACAGAGTTCCTGCACTGGCGGGTGGAGGCTGCGAGCAGCTCGGAGGTGGCGCTCTCCTGCAGGGCTGAAGCCAGCGCTCGCACGCTCAGGTGCTGCCACACGGGCAGGCTCGCCGGCTCCCCTGGAGGCAGCCTCACGAGGAATTCGGCCTGGGGGCAGGAAGCACCACACATGCCGTTTGTTACAAGGTCTTTTCCTGCCCATTGTTTTCTATGTATGTATGTATGTTGAACTTCTCTCGCACCATACGTGCTAATTGGAGGTGCGTTTTGATAGTTACCTTCATTTTGTTATTTTTTTTACTTATAAGCCATCAGTAATGGATATGCAAAGTCAAAAAGATATCAATAGCAATATTCCAATTCAAAAAAGTGTTGCATATGTACCAGAACGAGAAGGATGTGGTGAGTAGGACATGTGCAGGATGGAGGAGGGCAATTTACAGACAGGCATTGCAGTGGCACCGAGAGGTTGGTGACAGAAGGGGAAGACCTAAAGCTAAATGGTAGCACTTTAATAACAGACCTTGGAGGTCATGTATCAACTTTGCTACGACAAGATTCAACAGAATGAAGAAATGGTGAGGTGTAGTAGAACCAATGGCACTGGCAGTAGTGACCTCTAGACTTTAATGTAATAATCTCTGCTTTGCTTATTGCATTGTCGGCTTTATGTATAGATGATGTTCTTAAACACCTGGTGATCGGGAGCCATGAAGAACAGCAGTCGACGGAGCAGCAAGAAAAGGCAGGACCCTCTCCAGGACTGTTCTGGGCAGCAGTTCAACCTGGAAAGATTATAAATATCTATACTTTTATTCTTTGGTTCTTTCGGTAAAGTCACGTATAAAGATAAAATAATAAATTAAATAATAGCATACGACGTTTCGATTGCAACACAAGCAATCATCAGGTATAATGAAACAGCAACATAAAATATAACCAGAAAACTATAGACAGACATATAAGCAGACAGATATCACCAAGATACATAGAGAGAGCAACACAGGTACAGAGAGGGAGGATCGTCTCTGTGGGGTGGCCTTAAATAGACAGAGGGGGGCGGAGGCAGAGAGAGGGAGGGGTTAGAGAAAAAATGTACATCTTTATACGTGACTTTACCGAACGAACCAAAGAATAATTTCCTGCAGTCACGAAAGCTCCAAAATTAATATCTATACTCTTAGGTTTTTTTCGGTAAAAATAAATAATAAAAATAATATAAATAGTAATAGAAATACAATTATAAATCACGACGTTTCGGAGGCAACACCCCCCCTCCCCCCTTAACTTGTATTTAAGAGCTCGTCTCTTGGAATTTTGCCTCACTTGATACAGTAAATCTGGCTGTGACGGTCCCACCTGATGACGGAGACTTGTGTTGCCTTCGAAACGTCGTGATTTATAATTGTATTTGTATTATTTTATTTGTATTATTTATTTTTACCTACGTGACTTTACCGGAAAAACCTAAGAGTATGAATCCTTGCAGTCACGAAAGCTTAAAATCTAGAATGTAAATATCTATAGCAAAGTGGCCATACAAATGTCAATTTCATTCAATATTATTATATTAGTCAATTACATTGCCCTCAACACAACATATTACAGATGACACATTTCAAATGAAAGGGCTTGTCAAACGATATATAATAAAACAAGGCTAAATCCTAAACTAAACATGCAATAAGTGTTATTTAAAATGCCTTAATTAGTTCTGCTTGACAACATCAACATTTTAAAATAATTGTCAATTTAAAAAATAAATGAATATGAGAATTGTTGAATATAGCGTACCAAATCAGTCAGGATGTTCACATGATGTGCACAGAGTTCTGCAGATCCATACCTGGAAACCATTAACACATTGGTAGGTTAATATTAATTTAACAATACACAAATCATTTACCCACCATCGGACAATACAATTTGCACTACTCTGCTCTTTTGTTATTCGTAAACATTACAGGCTTTACTGATCAGCACTGCCAATATTTAGCAACTGTAAACCATACAAAAACACCTTTAAAAAAATTGGTCGAATTCCTCCAGTATCAATAAATATTCTGATTCTAGTATTGTATTAATCACAATAAAGCAACACATGGTATCATCAGGCTTGATTTACCACACCAACGCCATCCCTTATGCTCCTGTGATGCAAAAATCCATCTTACTCCTGCACATGAGGATATGTCACTCCACATCTGCGAATGACGTCCCCTTGGATGTTTACTCCAGTCACCACTCTTGTGCAACAGCCAACGTAACTTTTCCTTACAATTAATGTCTCTTAATTTGCCTTTGTGCCCTGATCCATGTGTTTCTCTTTCTGTCCATGTCTGGCTCATTTAATGGAAAGTATTATGCACTTGTTAAAACCTTTCAGAAGATTGATATTTTACTTTTGGTGAATAAATTCAGTTTGTCCAAAGTGCCCTACCCTGCTCTCATTTGCCACTTATTTAATCATTTTTCTGTCAATAGTTTTCCTCGGAATAGTATACTAAAAAAAATCCCAACAATACCTGAAATATATTATTTTATTTAGCGAACCTGGCCTTTTCAGCCTTCTTTGTTAAGTACTTCAATTATACCCTGCACTTCATTTGCAATGGGTTGTTATAATTACTGTTTATCAGCAAAACATAGGTGTTTACTAGTCTCTCAATGTATGTTTATGTATTTAATTCCCAAATCCCATTTTTGGCATCTTATGTCATTGTGAATAACCTTGGTGAACATATCTCCCTGTCCAATGCCTCTTTCTATTTAACTGCTTTCTTTATACAATATTAGTGTAGATCTGTCATTTTAATGAATGTATATAATTTCCACGCGTATTTTTTTCATTAAGAGAAAGCTTGGACGACTGCATCAGTTTATACAAAATTCAATGCCTTTTCATTGTTTAAAAAAAATCAAGATGTAAAAGTTCATGCAGAACCCATTTTTGTCAATCTATATATATAAAATCGTGAATCTGTCTGTGTGTCTCCGGAACATACGCACTTTCAATGGACGGCGGTTGCCCCTGGCAACGGCTAGCGACGCCTTCGCCGCTTTCATTGGACCTGGCAACGGCTAGCGACGCCTTCGCCAAGGGCTGCAGTTTCATTGGACGGCGGTTGCCCCTGCCAACCGCTAGCCACGCCTTCGCCACTTTCATAAGCTCCGTAATTAATTAAATAATAGCCATTACACAGTGTTGTTGGCGCGCTAGGGGGGGGGGGGGGGAAGGAACGCCACCCGTACCCTGCCTCTTCCAAGTCGACAATTTTAGGCGAGGCCGCAGGCTTTGCACGCTACTAGGCCCCGACACCCACCACACCACTCTGAGGTAAATTCATCAAAGTTTTTCCTACTCTTCACTACACCCCCACCACAATGTGTGCTATTAATATTACTTTTAAACCCAACGCGCCAACAATCGATTACTTTAATGTTCACTGTACAAATACTCATTAAGCTGGGTGAGCGTACTGACAGTCTATTATGTACACTGTAGCCTGCTTATTAAGCTCTGTCAGCGTACTGCCACTCTATCATGTAGACTCTAGCCTGCTTATGAAGCTGAGTGGGTGTACTGGTACTCTATAATGTAGACTGTAGCCTGGTTATTATAATCGATTCTTTAAATGTTCTTTGTACAAATAGTCATTAAGCTGCTTTAGCGTACTGCCCGTCTATTATGTAGACTGCTGCCTGCTTATTCAGCTGGCTGGGTGTACTGCCAGTCTATCATGTACACATTAGCCTGGTTAGGAAGTAAAGTTAGTCAATTTGTAACACGTACGCTTTCGCAAACATTATTCATAAACAACGTTATTGCGTTTAGATCGCCTTATTTATTAAGGTGTTGTCACCCTTATCCACCACCCGACACGCCCAATCTGCACAAAATTGTCACGTTCATAAAAGACTAAGACTTGACTGCTTTAGCCCACCGGTGTGTTCAAGCGGAAAACCACAACAATTAACATTTCTCATGAAAAAACTACTGTATAATTATGTTTAAACCCCACGCGCCAATAATGGATTTGTTTAAATGTTCACTCAACAAATACTCATTAAGCTGGCTGAGCGTACTGCCACTCTAGAATGTACAGTGTAGCCTGGTTATATTTATGGGTGGCTGTACTGACAGTCTATCATGTACACATTAGCCTGCTTCTTAAGTAAAGTGAGTCTTTTTGTAACACGTACGCTTTCGCAAGCATTCTTCAAAAATAACTTTATTGCCTTTCACTCGCCTTAATTATTAATGTGTTGTAACCCTCCACCACCCCACACGGCCAATCAGTCAAAAAGTGTCCCGTTGATAAAACACTCATAAGTCTCTGCTTTGGCCCACCGGTGTGTACAAGCGTAAAACCACAACAATTCCCATTACAGAGTACGTCCTTTCGCTGATGCTGGATGCAATTACCAGCCAAATGTCGTACTGTTCAGTTGTCTGTCCATCTGTGTACGATCGCTTGCGAGGGATTTGTCGGGAGGCACGTCCCGTGCCCCGCGATGGGAATACGCATGTCACTGTGTACGTGTTTGTGTGTATGTATGTGTGTTTGTGTGTATGTGTGTGTCTGCGTGTATGTATGTGTGTGTATGTGTGTGTCTGCAGCAAGCGCGTGTATGTGTACCTATGGACACGCGCGCGTGTGTTGTGTAGGGGGAACGGTAGTGTAGTGGTTAGCGTGCTGTCTGTGTCTGTGTGTGTGTGTCTGTGTGTGTGTCTGTGTGTGTGCGTGTGTGATGTCGAGGGTAAATGGGCGAGGTTTAAGACTGTGACTCATGCAGCTGCAATGGCTGCTTTGGGTACGCGGTCCAGACCTCCCCAGAAACCCTGGCTGACAGAGGAGGTGTTCAGGTTAATTGAGGAAAAGCGACAGGCCCACTCTCATCGCCTACAGCATCCCACGTCAGAGAATGAGGAGGTTTACCGCAGCCTTCGCTCGGAAGTTCGGAGAGCCGTAAGGCGTTGTAAGGATGGGTGGTGGTCGCGGGTTGCTGAGGAGATGGAGTCTGCCTCAGTGGCCCGTGATCACAAATCACTATTTAACTCCATCAAAAAAGTAACCTGCAGCGCCACACCTATTACCATCATTAGAGGAAAAAACGGTGATCCAATCTCCGACCCCCAGGAACAGGTTTGCAGATTTTCTGAGCATTTCTGTGAGGTCCTGGGGGAGGGAAATTCTCTCAGCCAGGAAAACATCATGGCACAAAGTGGGGATAACCCTGCTGAGGCTGCGGTGCCTCAAATATTGGAAGAGGTCACCCCCTGTGAGTGGCTGGCTGAGGTTCCAGCTGTTGAGGAAGTACTGAGGGCGATCCGGAGTCTGAGACCAGGGAAGGCACCGGGCAGAGATGATCTCCCAAGCGAAATGCTGAGGGAGGGTGGCGTTTGTGCACAGACTGCCCTATATGACATCATAACAACAGTCTGGACCACTGGACGGGTTCCGCAGGACTGGAAGGATGCCCTGGTGGTCCCCCTCTTTAAGAAGGGGGACCGCACAGACTGTAACAACTACAGGGGCATCTCACTCCTCAGTGTGCCGGGTAAGGTCCTGGCAAGGATTATTCAACATCGCCTTGCTAGGCACGCTGAGGAGGGGCTTGCGGAGCCCCAATGCGGTTTCAGGAAAGGGCGGTCCTGCACAGATGCCATATTTTCTGTCCGTCTGCTACAGCAGAGGTGTAGGGAATTCCAAAAAGACCTACATCTCTGCTTTATTGACCTGGTCAAGGCCTATGATACCATCAGTAGGACTGGACTCTGGGTTGTTCTTCGTGCTTTCGGAGTCCCTGACCCTCTGCTCACGATCATTAAGGACCTTCATGATGGTGAGCGGGCCCGGGTAAAACTACGTGGCCGGGAGTCGGAGCCTTTCCCTGTACACCTTGGGGTGCGACAGGGATGTCCTCTGGCTCCCACATTATTTAACATCTATTTTGACCGCGTAGTTCGTGAAGCCTTCAATAGCTGTACCGGGAGAATTTCCGTTTGGTACAGATATAATGGGAGGCTGATCGACGCCCGGGTGCGATCAAGGGATGGCTCCCTATTGGTCAACCACGTTATGTATGCCGATGATTTGGTAATAGCTGCTCATTCAGAAGAGGAGTTGGAGGCGCTGCTGCTGAGACTGGAGCGTGCCACTAAGAGGTGGGGCCTTACCATCAGCCCCACCAAAACCAAGCACCTGCCTGGGTATTTTGTACCATCGGACACTCCACCCCCACAACTCCCAATTGGTGATGGGGCAGTTGTGGAGAGAGTGGAGAGTTTCCCATACCTGGGCAGTATGCTTATGACCGGCTCCAGTCTATCAGCAGAGGTCTCACTCCGAATCAGTCGAGCGGCAATATCTTTTCATCGGTTGCGTAACGCTGTGTGGAAGCTACCTGGTCTGTCGCTCCGCACGAAGCTTCAGGTCTTCTCGGCCACGGTCATTCCCTCCCTTCTCTACGCTTGCGAGACGTGGACCCCCCTGGTGGAGCATCTTCGCCGGTTGGAAACATTTAGGCTGGCCTGCCTACGATCCATCCTGGGTTTAACCAGGCTGGATTGTGTGAGGAGCTCACAAATCCTTGAAAGATCTGGGCAAAGTCCCATCAGTGAGCTCCTCCGGCAGGCAAGGCTGCGTTGGCTGGGTCATGTAGCCCGCATGCCCAGCCACCGCATGCCTAAACAGCTTTTGTTCGGCCGGATCGAGGGGGCTAGACGGGCGCGGCACGGGCTGGAGAAGAGATGGAGTGATGTGGTACAGGAGGACGTGGAGCTGAGTGGACTTGCCGATGACTGGTACCAGCGGTGTCAAGATCGGCCTCAGTGGAGGAGGCTCGTGAAGGACGCTACTGGGCAGTTGGAGGCAGTCGCCCTCCAACAACAACGGAGGGCGGAGGAGCGACGCTCACAACAACGAGCGGAGCGCCGGGTGGCTAAAGCACAGCAAGTTGGCACAGTAGGGGGCACAGGTGGTGCATCAGCCAGTCATCTCGGTCATCTCGGTCAGTCGACCAGTGGCACCTGGGTCTGCCCCGTGACCTCCTGCCAGCGGGCTTTCGACACTTCACGTGGCCTCAAGGTGCACTTGGCCTGGCACAAGCATCGTGGTGACGTCACCGCCACTTAGTGGCGAATGGCGGTTGTTGTTGTTGTTGTTGTGGTGTGTGGGGAGCGGTAGTGTAGTGGTTAGCGTGCTGTCTGTGTGTCTGTGTGTCTGTCTGTGTGTGTCTGCGTGTGTCTGTGTGTGTGTCTGTGCGTGTGTGGTGTGTGAGGAGCGGTGGGTGTAGTGCTTAACGCTACGCTGCGCTACCAACCCGGCGAACCCAGTTCGATTCCCGCTCACGGCCACCACCGGTGACGATTATTTGAACCTCCCCTAGGTCGACTCTGCCTCAAACGAGTAACTGCTGTGGCGTATTAACATCGCCACTGGGGAGACAAAGGCGGCCGGCCGTGGTGGATACAAGTCCCGGGCGAAGCCGGGTAGTACAGCTAGTCAACTGCTATAGGAGAGCCTCCCCATGCCTTGTGGGCCGTCAGGGATATGTGACCATACTGTACCATGCTGGAGAGAAAGGTGGGGGGGATGTAGAACAATAGATTTTGACGCACTGTCCCTCTTCTGCCCACGGCACCAATTGCACCTGTCCTTTGCACACGATGGTCACCCAAACCAAGCACTGTCGGAACCCACTTCGCTTACAATCTGACACATTTAGGCACATTCTGGATGATGTGGTAAGAGTCGAAAAGCAACTGTATTTTGTCGTTCACGTGGTCCTATGTTCACGTCGGTGGTTAGCCTCTAAATTGTTCATTATTCGGGTTTCTATGATCTTCGTAGACAGTTTATGCACATGGGAGGTTAATAGAAAATACAACGTGCTCTAAACTGCACGTAAAAATAGGAAACTCACCGAGCAAGAAAGCACCAGCTGTCAACAGCGAGCAGAGCAGACATCACGTCAGTTCCCAGCACGGCCTCAAGAAGGCAGCATTCCTAAACCACGAGCACACAGCATTACCACACGTGTACTTTACTAGGTAAGACACTGCATTAAAGTATACCACAGGCAGTTCATATGGCTACAATTCTCATCAAATATTTATGAAAACTTAGCTCTGCATCTCACTCATGTTATTACAACTTGGATACATTTTCACTATAAAAAGTTTAGGAAGTAAATTTTTTCTATATATTTTCAGCAGGAATTAAGTTACATTATCCTATGCTGGCTATACGGTTGTCACTGATTAATCACTTTTGGATAGAGGATAAGTGATGAAATGATAGACTAGCAAAATACATTGTTCTCCAATCTCTATGTAATCCACTAAAGCTCATATTTATGAGTCACAATTTCTGAAAGAAACCAATATATAACAAATATTCACAAAATGCTAGTGCACATTTTCGAAATCTAAAGGTACAGCCCTGCAAATGCTTGTTCACATGGAAGGGCCTCCACCCAAGGCAGCTCTGGAGGGTATTTAGCCCTACCTTCCACGCAAGCCAGACATCTTAGAGGCCCTGCTGATTGACTGTGGTGTACCCATTTATGCCACTGTGTGGAAAGAGGCGGAGGTGATTTAATACATTTTCCCATTGTTTCAACTGCCTTGCCAGAGGTTCAAACCGGAGACCTCTGGATTTTAAGTCCAGTGAAGTGACCATTACATAATGACAACATCCGCATAAGTAATATTATTTTATGTTTCATATCACGCTACAGAATTTGTGCATGTGTGGCAGAGCTCATGCATAACACAGCTCGTACACAACCGCATTCGAGGGAGATCACACCACAGAGGGGAGCTCACATAAAACACAGCAGCAGTGCTCACACATAATACATCAACAGTTCAGAGCCGAGTTCATGCACAAGAAAGTAGCTCTCACGCACCAGTTTTCCAAAATGCTTTGCAGGCAGCGAGGTGATGAAAGCGCAGAGGTGAGTGCAGACGTATTCGTAGAGGCTGATGTAAGCCAGAGGATTCCCGTTCCTCATCACGCCTGGCAGAAAGCACGGGGAGGGCGAGCTCCACGTGACACGCTCCCAAAGCCGTAAAGACAGCTTTGAAGAGACTGAGCCTGCGGAGATTAAAGGCACACTCTCAATTCACAGCTCCCTGGCTGAGTGAAGGGATCCAAAGGAGCTCTGTTGTCTGCTGCAATTGTAATTACACAAGAATAACAACGCTATGTTCTTGCAATATTACAGAATGTGTGAAACTGCTGATACACCACACTAAAGCAGCATGTTCTAACTCTTAAGTGTTGATGTAATATTGGTTTTTGCATTGTTTGGGGAAAAGATAGAGATTACATCTAATTGTTATTCTTCATATAACAAAGTATAGACACTCAAGTGCCGTGTTCCAGATTGGGCTGCATGTTGGGAATTTTATTCTCTCAATCTTTTGCCACACAGTGCTATGGGCATCTTCAGAAGTTGAATAACTGTTGTTGAGTAATTCAACTCCTGAAGATGCCCGTAGTAGTGCGTAGTGAAATATTGGCAGAAGATATGCTCAACATGCACCCCGACCCAAAAAAGACACGCTTGGATTACAAGTGTCTATAAAAATCTCTTGCGAACGTATCAAAGCTGTTATTTGTGTCAGTGGTTTTATTTAAGTTTTGCAAGAATTCATCCTAAGGTAAAAAATATATGTATTCTGGTTTTGGCACTTTCTGTAAAAATCCTCATTGTATTGTCACCTGGGTGGTTTCTCTGTATCCTCACTGCCACTGCACCAGATCTCCAGGACATCTTCAGTCTGGCTGGGCAGCATGTCCATCACCCCCATGAGCAATAAACAATGTGGCAGATAGCACTCTTGACTTACATCTGTTACAGTACATTAAAACACCACAACATACATACTGAGCAATCCCATAAAACATATCATAAGCATACATTTTTAAAGATGAATCCTAGTATTTATCATTTCACCTGCATATTGCAAATAAACCTCCAACCTCTACTCCATACATTTTCAGTATCTTACTCCACACACCTCCCACAATTAACTCCACGCATCTCACAATCTACGTGGCCTAACCCTCACAACTGGCATGAAAAAGCGACCGCGTCAAAGTGGTACGCATAGTGCAATTATTGAGCTCTAAGTCAGCGTATAGAAAACCAGAGCACAGACAGCACAGCGATTTGGGTTGTGTAGAGTATGTATGTACAACTTCTTTCACATTGTACATAGCCAACCGTGGTAATCGGAGGTGCGGGGGAAAGACAACAAACTAAACACACAAAGTTAGACACTGGGAGATGTGTGGAGAGGCAGATTAATGCACCATGAGATGAGAGTGTAAGGTGAGAAGGAGGAGATACATGGAGTGAAAGAGGCAGAGACAGAAACAAGAGAGCAGATGTGTGCAGCGAGAGGCTTGAGATATGAGGAGATGTGTACACAGAAAGGCAAAATATGGAGAAGTGTGCATTGAGAGATGTACACAGCACAGGAGACAAATGCAGGCAATGCGGACACAGTATGAGAGAAGAGAGCAATTGACAACATTAGAGAGGCAGTGAAGATGACAAATAGAAGCAGAGTTCGAGAATACACAGCATGAAGAATAAGCTGTTTTATGGCAGGACAAGTGTTTCATGATCAAAGTTTTCTCAGATCTAAAGTAAATTTTCTCCGGTCCCTTGAAGAATGTTAGATGTAGGTTTCATGTTTGTGGTTGAAGTGATATCTTGAAAAAAAGTTATATATTTCAAAAATTCCATATCACACTGTATAACAAGTAATGCATGCGGCATGTTAAATATATGTATAAGTTCATACTAACCACAGCTACAAAACGTATTCCTGGAGTACAATCAAATTACTGGTTAAAATGCATTCCTGCGAGATACTTATATTTGTTTAAATATTCAACTATACGGATTGTTGCATTGTGTTGACCATGATATATGTTTACTGCTTGGAGAAGCCTTCATCCAGCACAAGACAAATCATGGATGATTATGATGAAGTATAAAATTCACCAGGTGCAATGTAGACTGTCAACTGACAACGGCGCAACATCTGCACCAATATTGGACGGCAAAAGTTTAGATTCATGAAACGCAAAATCCTTTTGAGATAAAATGCTGCACTCAAAAGCAGGCAAATTATATGTAAACTCCCGAACAATATGCACGCACGCGCCTTCTGGCAGAACAGCCTCGGTTTCACCTCGTGTCTCGGAGAGCACAACTTCAGCAAAGTGCAAGCAGCCTATGAGCTCAGACAGCAATGGGTGAGCGCACACCAGCACACTGTCCTCTCAGCTCTTGCATGTGAGCGTCGGCAATGGATGGGGCTGTCACACTCGGAGACATCTTACTGCACACAACAGCACGCACCATTAAGCCGCAAGCACATGGACAAATGTGTGTCCTGCTTAGCAGAACTTCCAAAAGCAACAAAATACTGAAATGTTGCTTCATACGCAAAGTAGATTATATAATGTCTAAGCTTCATGTCAACACATACTTTGAACACTTGGAAATATGGCAATGTAGCTACACTAATTGGTTTCTGTTTTAGATAACACGTGAGTGGAGTTTGTGGAGCAAATCTGCAATGCAGCGCGACAATATGGTAGATGGAATGTAAATTGGCTTGTCACACCAATGATCATTAAAGTTCACTACTGAAAGTACGGTAATTACACGTACCCCCAAAGGGACAATGTCGTGATAATAAGCAGAAGCCGTGAAATGTAACATGATCGAGTTCCCTGGTGCCTAATCTATAATCCCTAGACTAATGTTATACGTATAAAAATAAGGAAATGATTACGAATTTATTTATCCCATTTTCAAGGCGTTAATTTGAAAGTTTTCCTAAGAGCGCAAATAATGGAATTGCTTGATACTTTACATTCGAATGCTCATTTAAGCTAATATCTAATACAACCAAAAGTTGTGTACTTCATAACAAGTCGGGCAAAATGTGTATTGAATGCAGATACCTATGCAGTTGAAGATAGAGGTCATAGAGATATCTGCAACAGGTTCCCAGATACTCTTTAAACTCCTAAAAAAAGATATAGACGTTCACTTTTATTCATCTTTTTATTTCCTTGTCCAGTGGTTACAGTTATCAAATATACATAAAGTATTTCTCTAGTCACGAAAGTGTATATAATTGCAAGTATAGCAGTGTTCGACATATTCACAACTTTGACAACGTAGTTAAATTCTGCAGCACCCAGACATTTACAGGATTGCACAGACATATTCTACAGTATCCAAAATTATCATATTAAACTGTGACTCAAGGGTCTATACCCTTGCATGCTACCTCAGAGCTTTCTGGTATGCATAAGTCGAAAAAAGTATGACCGTGTGATACATGCTTAAAAGGTTAAGTTTCCTTCATTCATGAATAAAGGATTGATCAAGCTTTTAAAATCTGGAGGACATTTACATTCTGTCAAAACAGTACATTAAATGGCGAGTATGTGTCTTGCAAAGACGCACCTTGATGAAATGAATGAGCGTATTGGCAAAGAATCGACACAACTTGACAGTCCTGGTAAAAATTCTCTGTTCGGTCATGGTGGTTTGCTAGAGGAAAACAGCCACAAGTACCACTTCATGTAGGCAAAATTAATAACGGAGTGCAACTTTAACAAACAATTGGCAATTAACAAATCTGCAACATGCTATGCATCCATCGTTGTGCCAACGTATTCATCAAGTAAAACAAACATTCACAAAGAATATTAATTATATGTTAACAAGCATATAATGTACAGTATTTAGACTTACAAGGATAAAACAAATAGACTAAACTTCTGAATGCCTTCAAAAGTACCACCTAATGTTGTATGAAAGGGTAAAATAAACCACCTGGTTCGTAGATTGCTGTATTTGTTCGGACCGTTGGAGACAAGCGTTGAAGTTGAACACCAAATCATCACACAGGCCCTTGACAATGTCCCGGTGATTAAGTTGAGCTTCTATGTACACCCTATGCTTCATACTCTGCCTGAAAATGTACAAAAGAGTTTACAGGCAAACTGTAACACAATTCATTTTTAAATCCTTTTATATTAAGTTCACTTGCTTGCTTACGACCGTGCAAATCTTTCGGTCGTTTTTTAACCCACTTCCCGTGATCCAATCGAGCTGACATTTCCACACAGACTCGTTGTGCGTGACAATTAATTTTCGTGAATTTTTTTTCTCCAAATTTTTACACTTTTTAGGAATTTTTTTTATATTTAATTACCAATTGCTTAATGGTGGCAGGCAATCATCTGACCCATAGGTGGCAGCCATCTCAAGCCAGAGGACGAGAAGACTCTAGTCGCCACGCATATAAAGGATTTATAGTGAAAAACTTTGTTTTTACGGGTTAATTTTTTTATACTCCGCTACTTTTACGATTTTATATATGTGTACAATTTGCTTACTGTAGGTAGCATTATATTGAACATATTGTATGACATTTTTTACATACTTAACCACAAATTTCCACGTGTTGGCTTGAAGTGCGTGGTCCATGTTGGCAATAACAGTACATATTTCTAACACGCCATGAATCACTAGAAAAGTACGCATGCACACACACACATCAATGTTTATTGACAGAGATATAGTTAACTATTGTATAAATATCACATGTAACACTCATTCAAAACCCTATAATTTATAAGAATAACATTACTTATATTTCATACAGAAATTTTACGTCAGTTTAAAACACATTTCTACTCAAGCATTTAATTAAGTTTGGCATCCCGCCCTGAATTGCCAAACTACCATAAATGTGAAATCAAGTATAACCTGCAAGCTTGAATTTCTAAATTTCTAAATAGGTCGATATATGCAGTTTTATTGGTAGCCAGTCTGATACCTTCACTGCCAATTCTGCCATTATGTTTTAAATAACAATTTATTTTCTTTATTAATGACTTGTTATCTTTCACTCATAATACAATCCACTCTTTTGCCATTAGCTACCCATACCCATGAGCTTCACTCATTGCTTCCTCCTCCAGATGTTGAGAAATCGATCTACAAGACCCCGGCCATTGAATCTCATCCAGTGTTCAAGCACACACACTGCAGGTCACAACACTTCTCTTTATGTTTCTTCCCTCACACAGCTCACTTTATAATTCCCTCCCATTATCTCTTTTCCAAAGTTATCAATTCAGGAGTGTATTAACTGTAATCTATTACAACTGTAATCTTACTCTTTGCTGCTGGCTATTTGGCATTTAGTCATTGGCCCTCTGTGCAACAACCAACAAAGTTTAAATTCACATAATATATGAACGACAGTTAATTAAATAAAGCAGAAGCATTACAATCATATTTTCTTATCCAAGGTGATGTGAGTAAAATATCACGTGTTTCCATCATCACAAATTATTCCTTTAAGGTGAAGTAAAGCATGCATAAGTGAAAATATTGTTACATTTTCTGTCACTTCCAGCTGACTTCTCTTATCCATGTTTTCATGTGCATTAAATTATGTAATAGCTCTGAGCGCTTCATCTTGCTGCAGCAATGATAATCAACATCCTCAACATCATTCATTGGAAGCAGAAGCTGCATGATGAGGATGGTCATCAATCATCATCATGATGTAGTGTTGTAATGCAGGTAATTTAATTAATTCGTCACTTGACCCCTGTGTTTTAGTGTGGGAAATAGGATGTCTCTTCTGAGGGACACCTTTATTAATATGTTAATACAGATAAATGAAGAATCGCTGTGTGTATCGGAGTTTGTGTTGAATTGGTGTGGCACAAATATCATAATCGGGACTTGCACAGGAATATTTTAACTATGTACACTCTTGAGGGGACATTGACTCTGTGACCCCTCGCCTCATGTCAGCACCTGCGATCAAGTCTGTGACGTCTTGTTGAGAAGTTTCCGGATTAATCACCACTCTATCAATCATCTCCAGGAAGAGCTTCTGCAGGGAGTACGTCTCCTTGAATACAGCCTGCAGCAGGTCCGCTACACGCTGCAGCTTGCAGCCATACACCGCCTCGCTGTTCTGCAAAGCATAAACGAGTCACACGTGCGCCATGAAGAGGCATTGGTCCAAACCGCCTAAAAGCTTAACCAGTGCAGGTTCTTTCACCCCACATGTAGCCAGCCATTGCTAATCAGAGGTGCGAAGGAAGGACAACACACTAAACCCAAAAATCAGTTCTAAATAAATTAGTTTTTAATCTAGATTTGAAAATGCATAGCTCCAGTGGCTTCCTAATATCGGAAGAATGTTCCAGAAGGCCGCAGAATCACATCTGAAAGCTCACGATACAGTGACCATTTTTGTTCGATGGCCAGCCAAAATGTGCTGCGAGGATGGCCAGAGTTCGCATGATGGTGTATGCTTCTTGACGAGATCAGCAAGGTATTGCGGTTCATTTGTGACAAGCACTGTTGTGTGTAAATGAGAGCGACCTATGTAACACCCCACGTTAAATATGAACTTTGTTGCTTTTGTTTTTTGCAATGGTGTCATACATTACTGAGACAATATAGTCAATGACAGCCTGTATATAGGCTCGGAAAGCCCACGGCTTGACCACCAACCCTCCTCTTGTCTGGATTCCTGCCCCAAGGAGCACAAGCAAATCTGGTAGGCAAATGCTTTGCCTATGAAATAAATGTGATAAGCAAGGTGGAGTGTAATAAACAAGGTGTGTTAATCATCTATCTTAAAAAAACATAATTGAAGTTTTCCTTTTCAAATATCTCCATGCCATCACAAACTAAAATAAAATCCGCAATGTGTAACGTTTGCATTCACGTTGGCATGACCATGTGACCCTATACGGGAAATCACAGAATTGCTGCGTATGCAACAAGACAAATTTCAAAACTACTTTGAACAAGAATAATAGAATAGGTTTTTTCCTTTTTTTCTGGCAAAAAAACTGAAACCTTTTTACGAGGAATCATGTCTGCATTAACCACAATTCTTGTGGTCAGAATGCAAAAAAAACACACTCTGATAATATATGCATTGTCCTTGAAACGTATTGGTCCACACCAGAGACAACTTTCTTTTGTGGTTAATGCAGACATGATTCCTTGTAAAAAAGTTTCAGTTTTGTTTCCAGAAAAAAGGGTAAAAACCTATTCTTATATTTTGGTACTGGCAAAGAAGGTCCCATGATGTACTTTGAACAAATTTGCAAGTCGCAGAACCACATATAACCTTAATTTCCCAGTGCTGGAAACCATAATACATGGAGCAGCATCGACAACACAGTTAGCAAAAAATATCACAGGACAAATTCAAAATTAAACTTTGTCTCAAGAAAAAAATACATTTGTAAGGTGCATTTGATCCCAAATTCCAATGCACCATGCATGGAAAGCAGGAAATAAATAGAACCAGGGTAAACGGCCAGAATTAGGGGGTACAAGCCAGTTTAAAGAACATAGTTTTCAAGACAGACTTAAATATATAGCTAATGATTCTGATTGTCCTATTAGCAAAGGCAAAGCATTCCAAAGCTGAGGAGCTGCACTGGAAAAAGCCTGATCACCCCAAAAAACCGAGCCTTAACCTCGGAGTACTTAGAAGGCGATCTGAAGATCTTAGGGACCGAATTGTCTGGAGTGCCATTTCTCCTGCGTTACACCAAAAGTGGACTGAAATGAAACAATGCAATAATACTGGTCTTCTTTCATTAATAACGAGCCATTTACTTGAATACACGCGTTTTGACGTCCTCTGGTCTAACGCTGTTTGAGACTAGGCTCAAAATAAAGCTGTCTCTGGTGTGGACCAATCAGTTTCAAAGACAATGCATATATTATCAGAGGACGTTTTTGTTTGCATTCTCACCATAAGCATTGTGGTTAATGCAGATATGATTCCTTGTAAAAAGTATCAGTTTGGTGTTTTAACATCTTAACACCTGTTTTGTTGCCAGAAAAAAGGGGAAAACCTATTCTCATATAAAAATGTATCAGTTGTTGTAAAATATTATTACTCAATAAAAAATAAGTTGTCTATATGAACAATAAGGCCATGGTGGGTGGTATGTGCTTGTGTGGCATGTTACCTTGCAGTGCTGAAAGGTGCTTTTGAGGATGTGAAGAACTGAAAATGGAAGGGAATGGATGGTTTCCAGATACAATGCATTGTCTCCAGAAATAACTTGTCGGATGCATGCCTCCAGACATTCAACTATGGATACCAATGCCTGTAAAGCACAAGATACATATTACACCAGAGTAATGTTCACTTACAACAGAAATAATATACAATAGGATGTGGTCAATTGTAGCATAATATATTAAATTACACTGATCGTTCACCATTGACATAATTGCTTTATTCAAATGAGAGCTACTGAGATACTGTACTGATTTTGGAAGGGTAAAATAATGCAATTCATGAACTTACAAATAAAGTGGAAATGTACTAACACGTGTTATCTTTACAAAAAAATCGATATTGTTCTACATTAGGTATTTATAAATACTGAGTAAATTGATTTGGCCAGAATACATGTTTTAAATTGTGTACTTGTAAGAACGTAAATACTGCAAGGATACCATGTATTTAAAAAATCTTGTAAAACAGTTGTAGTAGTTTACAGACCTCTAAAATGTTTCGAAGCAGTGTTTTAAGTTCAATGTTTTGGCTGGACAGCTCTGCACCTTGAGATGTTAATTCCTCAATAAAATCATCGACGATTTCCCTTACCTGAAATACAACAGTGATATCACGAGTCATGCAGTAAACACAATACTAGTTTCGATATTTTTCACGGAAATGTTACTGCTTCAAGGTGGAACGTTAAGCTCATTGGAACAGACATCCATGATTATGCACCATAATTTGGGACCTTTCCTGATGCATTATATTTCCATTGAAAATTATCACGAGAAATGGAAATAGATGTATCCAGCGCAAAGACACGATAGTCAATTTGAGTTGAGTGCCCAAATGAAACCGAGTCCTCATTCATTTACAAATTTACATATTTTAGAAACTGGAATAGTTTTGCCCTTGAGATGGAATAACAAAAACGTCAAGTTTATTTTATTGATTTATATTAATATTATTTTATTATTTCCCTTCTACGTGACTTTACCGAAAGAACCAAGAATATGAATATAAAAACGTCAAGCTTTGTGCAGTATTTGTAGACGTGCCATACCCCAGGAAGAACTTTGGAGAACAGTTTAGGTTCCACATCACTGAGTGGAATGTGTGGCAGGAAATGGTTTGTCAACACCTTTAGCACCTCTGTAAACAAAAACACAAAAATGGTCCCATAAAAGTGGTATCCTAATAGACATTAAGCCAAACCAAAAGCTTTTCACGGCTCCAGCAATAAACACAATGGATTTATCAAACTGCCCCACATAAAAAAGTATATTCGGCTGCAATTTGCAAGTGTATATTCTAATGAGCCATACAAAGTTTGTTGTCAAATTGGAGGCATTTACATTTTTTACTTTGAATTATATATCAGTCACAGAACACAATGATACATAACTTGAATGTAGAGACATACTTACTTATCTTCATAAAACTGTTCTCTTCAGAATATAGACAGTAAGCTTAGTCAAGGGAACCTTTTATTCGAGAAAATATTTTATGCTCAAATGACAGAATTCCAAGCATCACAACCTCTCCATTAGCACGGTTGGCTACGTACTGTTCGAAAGAAGTTCAACATAATTACATACAACTGCTGTCAATGGGTGTATAACTTTTACGTAAAATATTTGACCAAATGTTCTAATCATGAAGCTGCTGCTGCTGAATTAAATAAATGTAAGTTTTGAGTGTTATATTAAAAACAAAATATTTCGAGAGCATATCAAATTAAGTCTTAAATTACAAGCATTCCACATAGCATTAACAAATGTCATTCAAATTCTAGTCCTCTCAATTATGAAATGTTGGTACGTATTTACTGAATCAACTGCCTTTTAAAAGTCTATAAACACTAGACCTGACAGTACATGCACATAATTGTGTAAATCCACTGCTGGATGAAGGATGTTAGACCATACTTCATCATGCTGATCAGTTTGGGTTGAAGTTGTACAATGTAAACATTGGATAAGTACAGTATAACTGCCATCTGTTGACAATGTAGCCTCCAAAATTTAATACAATACTGTTTTCCCAAAATTCTGCAATACTGTTATTTTTATATTACAAAAATGTATACTCTAAGTTATTTTACGGGAAATATTGCTGTGACTTCTTCATTTGTACTCTTTGGTTATTTCGGTAAAGTATACCTACGTGACTTTACCGAAAGAACCAAAGAGTATGGATTCCTGCAGTCACGAAAGCTTCAAATCAAGATTCTTCATTTGTGTATAGGATATTAGAAGCTTGGGTAGAACAGCCTCCAGTTGTTCTTGACAGGTTTCAGCATTCCATTGCGAGACCTCTTCCAAAAGGGAAGTTTGAGAGCTTTGTGACATTACTCTGTAAAACATGCGCGTTCATAGAAAAAACATACAGACGTTATTTTAGCAGCACCATCCACACGAAATAAAATTATTCCAATTACCAGAATAAGATCGTACCAGTAGCACAAGTCCAATTGATAAAGACGTGAAATGACATGTGGCACATTCCAGCAACGCATTATCAAAACTATTAAAACAGTGTAATGCTGACCTAAACAGTTTTAAAACAAGTCTTTAACACTGGTGCACACACAACTCATTTCAGTTTAGAGGCCTGCGTGTCAGTGTCCTGTACATCGTCTTCAGTGTAATTCCTTACAATATCACAATGTGTATTTATAAAGCGTCTAAATGTGGTGGCATTGGGATAGCTCACATTCATGCAAGTACTTTAAGATTATTACAGATACTTTACATATCTAGTACTATGAAGTGCTTTATAAATGCCTATTATAAATCAGAATATTGCATGACATAAGAGTAGAGTATATCAACACAGTATAACTCAAGAGTATGACGCTTTATCTCAAACACAACACCGTACCACATAGCCGTACAACTCCAATAATAATACTATACTGTAACTAGGAAAGTGGTTATTTGAAAAAATATAATTTAGCATTTACTTCATTCATAACCACGTTAACTTTACACTTGACACCTCGATACCTTTAAAGTGTGCTAAACAATACTAATGGCATAAGTTAACAGATTAGGATATTCCAGGTCACGTATTTTCAGTAAAGCAAGTAGACATTTTAATGAAATGCCTTTTAATATTGTTACAAGTTTACGGTAATTGTAGCAATGATGTTTATATGGACATTACTTAAAATCAGTACATTTGCTAAACTGCTGTTGCACAAGCTCTCGAGGCGAGTAACACAGCAATACATACAACTTAAAGCTGACCACTACAGAAATAACCTGCATCAATGTTGATCATTTCATTCAAATTCAAAGTTGTAATGTTTAAGCTAACCAAGTGGTACATGTAAAAGAGGCTCCAAACAAGGCCCACGCGAGCGCGTTTACCGCCTGTGCCGATCGCAAACAGAAGCAAACGTTGACCGTCCGGCTTTTAATAGCAGTCGCAATAGGTTATAATCGTTTGTAAAAACATAAATTGCAATTTAAATTAGAACAAACTTACGTACAGCCGGTGATTAACAAGCGCGGGGTTTTGGTTTAAGCGGCACGTGACGCGTGATGGAGGAGGGGGGGGGTCACCGGACTCTACCAACTCGGGCCCGCGCACTTTGAAATGGGGGTGTTGGGGGAGCGGTGGTGCAGTGGTTAGCACGCTGTGTGCAGCTACAAACCCGGCTTACCCGAGTTTCAAGTTCAAGTTTATTTATTAGGTATAGCCCTGTGAGCCATTGGGCTCACGGCCACCAACACCGGTGAGGTTTATCTGAACCGGCCCTGTGATTCCACTAGGTCGACTCAGCGTCGAATGAGTAGCTTGTGCGGTGTGTAAAAACATTGTTAGTTGGGTGTGGTGATGGCCATCCCCACGTGTACATAGCAAACACGTAATGAATTATACTTGCAGAGTTTAAATCTGTAACAGGCAAAATATTATGGATGTTGAATGGGTGATGATGCATTTGAATTTCGATTTAAAGCTTATGTGACTGCAGGAATTCATCTTCTTGGTTCTTTCGGTAAAGTCACGTAGAAGGGAAGTACTAAAATAATAAAAATAAAACATAATAAAATAATTCTTACGATGTCTTCACCTGAGGACGGCTGCTTGCATTGTGGCCGAAACGTCGTGAGAATTATTGTATTATGTTTTATTTTTGTTATTTTATTACTTCCCTTCTACGTGACTTTACCGAAAGAACCAAGAATATGATGCATTTGAACATAATATAAGGGATACGTTTCGGATTACACACATTCCGGGGTTTTCGGATTGTTAGATGGATAATATATAACATTCATTAGTTAAATATATTCCAAGCTATAACAATTGTGAAGTTTTCCGATACGCGACATTTCTTATGGCGGGAAAATCACGGAAGGGGCATCGGATTTTCGGATTAATCCAAAATAAAACCCAAAATTTCGGATTCGTCCGAAATGTCACCGTTAGGCTTGCACTACATTCATTGATGAAAATGCTGCGCAATGTGTACCGCATATCACTTAAGACGTAAGTCAATCATATGCGCGATTAGATATTAATATTTAAAATAGAGGCTTTCGAAGCACACGACATGCAAACAAAACAAAACTCAAACAAAACAGGAAACAGTGCAAACAAACCCGAGATTAAAAAGCGATAGATGTAATTTTTTGTTATAATTTCCCCCCACCCATGAAACTTTCTTCCCAATTGTGCTCTCAGTGTCACGAGACGCAGAAACCAGACGACCCAATAACCCTCCACGTAACAAGAGAACGGGGCCCGCGAAAGCGGACCTCACAGAACTACCACTGAGATCAACTGTCCCACGTACTTCAGTTGAACCTCGGGGCCCACACACAGGAGATAGAGACGGCGGCGGCGGTGGCAGCACTTTAACAAAACCAAAATATAGATATCGATTCTTAACCGTAATTGTGGCCGAGAATCGTGACAATTAGCGGAAGCGGACCTCACAGAACTACCACTGATATCAAATTTCCCACGTACTGCAGTTGAACCTCGGGCCCACACACAGGAGATAGAGAGAGGCGGGGGCAGCGGCGGCGGTGGCAGCACTTTCATTGCTTTCATGGCTTTATTTTGATGATTTCGAAAAGTTTTTGGTTTGGCCATATTTGTTTGTTGTAGTACAGAGTCAGACTGATGGCCTTAATCTAAGTTGTCTTGTGGTTGTTGTTGTTGTTAACTTGCATCCCACTGGGATGTTTGCACACAGCGTTGGTGTACGGTGCTTTTTCTGCAATATTTTGCTGTCTTTTCTTGGGTTTTCTGTTTGTACTTAGTCACATATTCACTTTAAGATGTTTTCCTGTTCATGTTTTTGTTTTTTGTTTGTTGCGGTTGCACCCGATTCAAGAGCCGAATGGCTCACATGGCTATACCTAATAGATGAACTTGAACTAACAAAACCAAAATATAGACATCGATTCTTTACCATAATTGTGACAATTAGCGGAATCTCGGGGGGTGGGAGGGTGAAGGGAGGCAATTCTTCACCCCGAGAGTCGTGGCCCCAACCTCAGTCCCCCCCCCCCCCCCCCCGCGATCTCGCGAGTTGGTTCCGCCCGAGGCCGCTTTTACGCGGGAAACGCTGTCATCATTGAGGGACATCTTAGCGGCGTCTCCTCCTCCTGCACCACCACCGCTACCACCACCACCCACAGCAGCACGAAAACACCGCGAGGACAACCACCGCCGCTACAACAACAACAACACCAACCACAATCAGTCACCGCCACAAGCAGCAGCACGGACACCGCGGCGTCTCGCCATGGCGCTCACGCTCCCCGACGACGTGAGGGAGAGGTGAGGGCGGCCGCCGCGGTGGTTGATTGTCGATGGCGGTGATGACGGTGGGTCGTGGTGGATGGGGTAGTTGACGATTGTCATCGTGATGATAACGGTGGTGGTTGACGATGGTGGTGGTTGTCGTTCATTTATGAGGGGCAGTGGTGCAGTGCCGTGGTTCATGATCGTCAGCCGGATAAATCCTCTCCGAATCGTCGCCATGGTTCGCCGTCAGTCCGGCGATGTTCACAATGCACACACGGAGTTGATTGAATCGCAACATCTCCGCAACGGGGGGACACCCTCGGTGGCGTTTCTTTCACTCCGCCTTGGGCCCGCCACTCCGTCGTTAGTCTCGACCATCGCCCCAAGTTCGCGGCACCGCAGACTTCGATTACCGGCAATCTCAGAGGTTCGATTACCGGCCTCGACTAACAAGGCCTCCTCCCTCATCATCATCATCCATAAATAAGTAATGCACGGTGCGCGGTGTAGGTGTGTGTGTGTGAACGCCAGTGTTGGGGAGACAAAGGTGACCGAGCATAACCACCACCAACCCCTCTTGCTGTGTGCAGACGCTTATAGGTGTTCGATAACAGCTATTGGGTGTATGTGTGTGTGTAAGGTTGGCATGTCTGTGGTGCGGTACGGCACGTGTCAGCTTGAGTTATGGCCAAATATTTACTCTTACATCGCACGAGCTGTGGGTAGTTCACTATCCAGCAGTAGATGACATGTGCGTGTGTGGCTTGTGCCACGATATCACGATATTCTCGCTCTACAATTTCCCGCCATGGACGTCACTGTCGCACGTGTTTACTTAACCTTGCGTCGACTTCCTGAAATCGCCGAGGGACTTGGTGCTGCGTGTGTAAAAACATCAGAGCGGGGGAGACAAAGACGACCGGGCGTGGTGTTATCCCCAAGTTCAAGTTCATTTATTAGGTATAGCCCTGTGAGCCATTCGGCTCTTGAATCGGGTGCAACCGCAACAAAACAAAAACATGAACAAGAAAACATCTTTAAAGTGACTATGTGACTAAGTGCAAACAGAAAATCCAAGAAAAGACAGCAAAATATTGCAGAAAAAGCACCGTACACCAACGCTGTGTGCCAACATCCCAGTGGGATGCAAGTCAAACAACAACAACAACCACAAGACAACTTAGATTAATGCCATCGGTCTTACTCCGTAGTACAACAAACAAACATGGCCAAACCAATAAACTTTTCGAAATCACCAAAATAAAGCCATGAAAGCAATGAAACAGTGATCATGGGAAGCCGTGTGCCGCACGAGCCTTAATAGGTGCTTTCAAACACCCCCAGAGTGTGTGCATGTGCACACAGCGTGGTGATCTTTGTTTTAGTGTTGCAGAACAGCAGCATCGCCCTGCCACGAACACGCTTGGGTGCTGTGTACGGCGTGCTTTTGGTTGCTAATTTTAATTGAATATACATTATAGTTTGGAAATACTGTATGTATGTCCTCAATTATAGACAACACGAAATCGTCATATCAAGAGTTTAACATCTTCAAGTTGTCAATATAGCTATGCTGCATCTCAATATGTTGTTGATTCTCTACTGCCTGCCTATTGAATCGACGGCGTATAAAGGACGCAGCTGGTTTATATTCTGTACGTTCAATCCCGGTTGGATAGTTTGTTAGGTTCGATTGCTCTGGCCTTGGTCGGGCACACACCACGTGCAGCGATCTATGGCGTGCTATTCGTTGCTGTGTTTTGAGTTACGTTTCATTTCCGGAAATAGGTATTTCAAGACACTTATTTAAGGAAGATAACGTTAAATGCGTTATTGAATGTTTGCCGATTATTGACGACATACCAAGTTTATGAAATGTCGAAAATTGACGAAGTGTGCAACATACATAATATAGATTTTAAAAAATGTAAACAGCAATAAATATCATGCCATAGTTGTAGCCTTACTGGCAAGCGTGGGATAGTATTGTAAAAACAATGACTAATTATAATCACTGTGCAGTGATTATGCCTATAATAAAATCACTCTGAATGTGACATCGTGTGATATCACAGAAAGCTAAGCAGGCTATATGCGCGTGTTTAATACTTGGATGGAAGGCCGCCATGCACAATGTTATTAGCTGCGGGTTTATGTGGTAGTGGGGTTAGAGGGCAGTGCAACACAATCCATTGGTTGCTCTGCTGTCCTCCGCTGCCACATCTATGTGTACCACACTGCCTCCCCACCCTGCACTGACCTTTGTGGGGGAGTGTGGTCAAAATAGCTCCCAAGACGGTGTGTGGAGCCCCCCCCCCCCGTCCAGCAATGTATTTAACAAAGGTTTGTGCGTGTGGGGTCTTAAGTGCGGTACTGTGATGGAGAACTGTTGGCGAGTGGTCCTTGTGGAGGTAGTGCGTGTACGCATAAAGTTATCATTAGGGCTTCGGATTTTCTGTGTTAATTTTTCTTTAAAATTGTTAGTACTTTCTACCTGTCCAAAAGTGATAGTTTTGTGGTGGTTCAATAGTTTTGCATTCCATGTATGTGCTGTATCATTTCATACTGTAGTAATATATCTCGGTTTACATCTCCCCCATTTACATCGTTTCGCAAATACGTCGTTACTTTTTTAATATCACTACCAAATTTGCGTCGCCTCAACCCACACTTAAGTTGCTCACAGTATCCGATCTTTCTCATTCGTCGCCTCATCAAAAGCACATCAACCTGCTTTTGTTTGCCTCTTTCATCCTTTTGAATATAGTCCACCTTCAATAACTTGCCAAAGGTACATGCTGTGCTCTGTTTCCATACTCTGAAGTGCACGTGGTAGACTAAGGAGGAACTCAAGGACATGGATTTGGTGATTGCGTCATGCTGCTGCGTGCGGCAGTCGTGGTACTTCCGCATCTCTGATTAGTCCGGTTGGCTACGGATGGTGTAAAAAGTCCTACATACATATTTTGCGCTCTTTTTTTCGATTGGTTATCTAAATAAATGACATTTAAATCTTGACTTAAAGCTTTCGTGACTGCAGGAATTCATATTCTTGGGTCTTTCGGTAAAGTTGCGTAGATAGGTTCCAATAATTTTATTTTATTTGAACCTATCTACGTGACTTTACCGAAAAACCCAAGAATATGAACCTATCTACATGACTTTACCGAAAAACCCAAGAATATGAAATGACATTTACTTTGAATCCATGCAATTTTTTTAATATATGCATATAAATAAAATAATGTTTTTGACTTGTGGAGTAACCGTTACCATTCAGGTCAACACAAGCAGAGCAACAATTTGTGCTGGGGTTTTTTTGGAGGCTTATTAATTTTTTGTGGTTATTTGGTTAAAATAAAAAAGTATAGAATTCCTGCTAATCGCGAAGTGACGGGTCATCGAGACATGAGTCTCTTTTGCAAGAGGGACCTGGAAACAAGCAAATAATATTAAGTACAGAAGGCTCAGTTAAAATATACAAAGCGGTCATGAACGTCAATAAAATAATGGACATGTTTTTTTTTACATATTAGGTTATAAGTTAAGATATGGACAAACTGGCAAAGCTTCTAGGCAATAAAATACACACATGTAGGCTTTCAGGTTGAGTTAAGTATTTATAAATTAAGGTATCATAGTTGAGGTCATCGTGATCAATGCCATGGATTTATTTCTGTTTGCTAGATCGTTAGTTATTGCAAAATCAAGACCCAACCTTCAAGGCCTACTTCTCGGCACTTTATGACTTTAGATCTTGATGGTTATTGTCGAATCCCATCTTTCATGGACCACTCTGATGGTCTCATCACCATCTGAATTGAAATCGGCCCCTTAGGTGCCATACTTGGCTTGCTCACCTGCCATCCTTCATTAAAATACAAAAGTCCCACCCATTGCAACCTCCGCTTCATGATTACATCTGAAGTCATCTTGTTTTGTTCTATTCATGTAAACGATACAATGGAAAACAATAGTAACCAGATGCTGTATTGTTTATGCATTCATGTGGAATGCAGTTTTGGATGGAATGTCTGTGTTCTTGGGTATTAGAACATTCTATATTTTCCCGTCACAGATTATGTAATTTTGCATGTTGCAGTATGGTATGGGCTTGTTGAGCAAATCTGTAATTTATTTTATTCTGTGCTTTATAGCGACTACTATAGGTGAGACTGCTCGGACAATGCCTCGCATTGAGACTGCTCTAAAAAGCAATGTGATAAAAATCTTCAGTTTTTCGTGCAAAATAATGTGCCATGTTGCATGTTTGTTTACATTATTTACTGCATAATGTACTGCATAATATAGGATAATTCTTACACCTTCATACAGGCAGATACTGTACACTAATCTGTGGTTTGTCCTGTTTGCTTGGTATTGGGACGTTTTGTACCTGAAGTAGTGGGAACGTTTGCGTCATTGATGTCACCTATTGTCACCATTAAAGCAAATTGAACAGCCAAGCTGTGAGTCACCATGGCCCCTCGAGTGTGGAACTTGGGCTGAATCTTTTGGATTTTAATGCGCCCATCAAAAGTGCGTGCGTTCAATGGACTGAGACATTGCGTGGTTTTGTAGTTGTGTTAATATGGACAGACAGGCCACCACTGCCATTTCGGTGGCCTCTTGTCTGAGAATATTTCTGACACTAATCCATCCATGCTTCGTGTCTCTCGCACAGTCATGTGTGGGCTTGCTAAGCCATTGAGTAATTATGTCCATCAATGAAATTGCATGGCACAGTGTCGCTTGAAAAAACGGCAGGCATCGTTATCGTAATCATTATCGTGCACCTGCTCTCGTTGGGTTTTTAGAAATGTGTAGATAAAGTTCCCTCCCTTGACAATAATGTGCAAAGCTTAAATATGCCAATATTAGTTAAACTGAACAGAATGTGCAATGTAATTGTAATGCATGTTTCCTGAGGTTCGAAATAGACATCAAATTTACCATTTTCCTTAAGCAAACTGTGATATGTGCAATATTGTCAGTTTTTTTTTGGTGGTTAGGCGTTGTGGTATTATTAGGCCATAGCACGTGGGTAAAACCACCGTTAACGGTCATTTTCAAGACTATAAAGATACCCTATTTCATTGAAAAATCATTGCATTGACGAGATGAGTACATAGATATGGTCTAGGACTTCATAAATGAGTTGTAAACATTTTAGGAGTGCTAATGTACAGTGATGAAAAGAGTTATCAAGTTTACATTAATTTTACCTGGAGATGGAAACAAATAATAGAAGACAATGAGACGTTTATTCACAAGGGTGTCTGCCCTGGGTTATATCATACGTTTGATTTTCAAAATCTTTGAGGTGTAAAAAAAGCTTCGATAAAATGAATCTGAATTGCAGCAAAAACATCAACTCCTCAGCCATGATCAATCCACTGCTGGATGAAGGCCATACCAAGCTGCTACTGCCTCTCACGATCTTGCAATGGAACAATCCATCCAACACATGAACCTATTGAATCGCTCGAACTCCTCTGTTTGCGTTCTTTCAGATATCCAAAATTATATATAGATAGAAAATAAAAATAAGTCGGATTATGAACAGTACTCATTGGAAACTTTGTTTTGTGTTAATCTGTGTGCAGGCTCGCAGAGTTGGAAGAACGCTTTCGGACAGAATGTTTAACAGAGAAGGTAAGTTAAAGGTACTCTAACTTTACAATTTGAGAGTCGCTAGGTCTGTAGTGAATGAATGTTTTAAAGCGAGACCCTTATTGTGGCCGCTGCACTTTCTATAAGATATAGCTGTATGCATAACATAAACAACTGCGTGTATGTACTTCATTAACGTATAATGGCATTCTTTTTTTGAGCATTTTCACAATGTGCTCCCATCAGTTTTCATTGGCTGAAGAGACCAACTGTTCACACAATTAGCAAGTATAAATATGTTTTATTAATGTTGATTTTTAAGCTCACATTTAATGCCTTGAATGGTACTTGAGAGAATAGATTAAGCATGGTTTCTCGATTTAAATATATTATAGTATAGGTATTGCTGATTGAACTGTTAATCTAATAAAGGAGTTTTTTATATTAAAACAGTCTAATAAATAGTACATTCACTTTATAGAAAAAGCATATTTTATTGCAGTGCAGATAAATGTTACATCCTTCTGTCAATCCATTGCAGGATAAAACGCCCCTTAATTGTTTGACTATACTTCACGATACTACTCAGTTCGAGTTCAAGTTCATTTATTAGGTATAGCCCTGTGAGCCATGCGGCTCTTAAGTCGGGTGCAACCGCAACAAACAAAATATGAACACAGAATATTTAGAGCGACGACGCGTAACAGAAACATCCTGAAATAAACCAGTTGGTGAAGAGGAAGCCCTGGACCAGCTTAGATATCGCTCACACTGATGTGAGACATGGGTAGGCATGGAACTGTGTCACTGGGTTTATAGTGCAATGCACTAACCAGATCACCACTTCTCCCTCCATGCAAATGCAACTCTACACATGTCACAGAACATTAAAAATGCAAACATAACAGTATGAGATTAATGTTGACAGAACTTTGAATCAAATCGTGACCAAAAATTGGGACAATTCCTTAAATCACTGAAGAAGTGAATCTTTCCATCCTTACCATATTAATCGGTATCCATAAAGGCTTTTATATAGCCCAAATGTAAGCTGTGGTTGACATCTTATTTCACACAGGGATACATGAAGAAAAAGCTGGGCCTGGTGCAACCTTTTCTTTCTGGAGAGGTGAAAACGCAGCTGGAAACGTTGCAGGAAGAGTTGAAGGAGGAAGACATCACAGAGGTAAAGTGGTAACACACGATCCATGCACTGTAGCAACACAGCGCAATTTGAGACGTGTTCTTGCTTTAAGAGCGCCTATAATAAAAAATAGCACTTTAGTGTTTCCACGGCAAGGGTTAGTTCATCGCTTTGCTTTGACAATGCACCTCCGTTGAGCACAGTTGGCTACGTAAGGTCCGAAATAAGTTCTACATACATACATTCAATGCACCTGCAACTCTAAATCGGTTTAACAAAAGCGATTTGTATACTGCTCACTTTACGCATCAATTGTCGTCACCTTTGTGGATTGCTTTGAGTATTTCCAGTTGGTATGCATCTCCGATGCAATGACATACGTTATTCCTGTGCCAAAATACCAGTTCTCCCTGTGCTTTACATACAGTGCAGGCCATGTCGGTCATGTGACCAAATTGACCATGCTGGTCAATGCAAGTTGGTTAAAGTGAGGAGCGTAGATGTAGAGTACAACAATTTATTCTGCTGAACTGCTGTCTACTGCCTACAATGTAGCCCACAACTTGGTTCATAGTGAGAGTAAAATCATAAGACATGGTGATTTATATTCTTGGTTCTTTCGGTAAAGTCACGTAGAAGGGAAGTAATAAAATAATAAAAATAAAACATAATAAAATAATTCTCACGACGTTTCGGCCACAACGCAAGCAGCTGTCCTCAGGTGAAGACCAGGTCTGTCGGGGAGACAGCGTCTGAATGAAACACCACCACGCTTGGAGCGTATATTTAAGCTGGGTTGGAAGGGGGGAAGGGCGCCTTGACAAAATAATTTGCATATCAAGAGGAATTTAGCATATTTATGGGAAATGCAGATCACTGTGATTTCTTTATAATTCCTAACACTGCGTTATGTATGTATATTGAACTTCTTTCGCATTGTATGTAGCCAGCCATTCTAATCGTAGATGCCCCCACTCCCTGTACCCCCTGCAGAAGGGGTACTTCAACAAAGTTAAGACCCTTCTCCTTCGGGAGCTTCCAAAGCTGGAGGAAGAAGGCTCGGAAAAGCCCCACCAAAATGGTGCTGCCAAAAACGGCAAAGTGAAGCACGGAAAGAATGGGACCACGCACCATGCCGCCACTGCCGCCACCACCTCCACTGCCTGCAAAACAGAATCTGTGGAGGCCAACGGGGATGAGGCGGCAACAGAGAATGGAGACGCGCATCCCGCAATGGCCAATGGCTCGCCTGAATGCTCCGGCAAGGCAGTAGCCAACGGTGACGGGCTTGTGCTCGTCAAGTCCGATGCGGAGATGGACGATGGGGACGTGGAGGGAGATGATGCTGAACCTGCGTCGTCGTCGTCATCGTCCTCCTCGGCGGCCTCTGCCGGGAAAACGCGGGGTCGCAAAAAGAAGCAGGCGGTCGAAGCGGAGAGCAGCAGTGGCGGTGGGTGGGCACCTTAATAAGACGCAGCTGTTTTGTGGAATATTGAGAAAAGCACCTGTATTTATAATGGGGAAAAAATCACCAATTCGTTGAATGTTGTATTGGTTCGTGAAATAATTGATAATATATACGTGCACAAGTTTGTTTTGTGGTGAGATTTTTTTATTTGTCACCCCATGAGAGTGGCCTTTATTAGTACATCGTTGTCAAAATACAATACAGTACTATGCTGATGTATAAGTCTAAAGTTTTTCTCAAGTCTGAAGTAAATATTCTTGGTTCTTTCGGTAAAGTCACGTAGAAGGGAAATAATAAAATAATTGAAAAAAGTGTCTTGCTGTGGTTTTCACACCTGATGATGATTGCTTGTGTTGCAATCGAAACGTCGTGAGATTTTTTGTTTTATTTTTATTATTTTCCTTCTATGTGACTTTACCGAAAGAACCAATAATATGAATCCCTGCAGTCACGAAAGCTTTAAATCTGAAGTAAATGTAAACATTTTAAATAGGTCTAAGAAAATCATAAATAATCTAGAAAATAGAAAAGTTATGAATGGATTAAATATATATATATAACATGCAGAACACAGAATTGTCCATGTGAACACGTTTATGCTGATTACATTGGATCTTAAGAGGAACAGAATCTGTTGTCCCCTCTGCTATTTCAGGATAGTTGTTGCATAGCAAAATGTAATGCAATTGCAAATAATGAACTGCTGTTGCCATTTATTGTGATGCTTGTTAAATTAGAACATTTGCAGTTGGAAAACATAATTGAGGGGAAATGTCACGCCAACCAAAATTTTATTGAGAATCATCTAGACTTTCAGCCCGATCAAACTATCAAAAATTCACTTATCAATCTTTGGTTGTCACTAAAATATTTTTAAATTTTTTCCTTCTGGCATTTTCCATACTCATGGGGTGTGCTTCGTTGTTCCTCTCTGCTCATCCTGTCCTAGGCCATCTCTAGATACACTGCAGTTCTTGATATTCTGGTTCACCACTTAAAACCACCTCATTCAATGTCCATCACCTTTCTTCTGATGTGGGTTTTGTCTCTTATTACAACATGTGCTAGCCATCTGAGTCGGCTCTTTTTTTCAACTAATTTTAGATGGGCACGACTCTTGCCTACTCTTCCGTATCTTTTCCAGTCCTGCAATCTTTCTACGCATCGTTAAAATCATTCCAGCATTACACTCAGATCTTTTGTCTCACAGCTCGCTTTTTTAGGCGCATCTATTGGGATCAATCCGATAGCCTTTGCCCACTTTCCATCCTGCTCAGAAAGTGAATTTGTGCATCACTTTCAGGGGACGCCCGAGCATTTATAGTGTTCTAGGAACAAGTAAATCTTAGTTTGGTGGCCTGCTTCCTTTAAGATGCCAACCTTCTAATTTTCCTACTGGGATAGAGTCCAGTTTTGCGATTTATAATTCCTACGAACGGAAGATTCACACCATTATCTGTAACAAATTCAAGACGTATAACTTTCACTCTAGATGAATACATATAGTTATAGTGATTCAAAAAACGTAATCCAGTGTGAGCAAGTTGAATATGTTAAGCTAATTACCTACATTTAAACCACTTAACTGGTTTAAGTGGAGGGGTATGCCCAATAAATTAAGCATTTTTCATGAAGAACTATAAAGTGATACATTAGTTGCTGACAGTGTGCGAAGGTTGACACTCTGAACATTTCTCCTTGTAGAATTGAATTTCGGTTGATGTTCCGTTTTATACTTGATGACAGTTGAATTAACACATTTTTATATTCGCAGCAGAACTCGCAAGTCCCCGTGGTCGAGGTGGTCAGCGTGGCCGCAAGTCGGGGGCGGCAGCTGGGAGCAGCCAGCAATCCATCGCTTCAATGTTTGGCAAAGGGTTAGTGTCTCATGCTGACATCATGAACATTATCATCATGATCCAAGATCGGTGCAGCCTGTCGTGTGAGAGAGGCTTTGGCTGGCGTGAGGATTTAATCGGTTTTGTCAACGTTGCGATCTGCAGGTCTGTAAAACGCAAGTCGGAGGAGGCAAATGGAAAGGTGAAGGAAGAAGTCATTCAAGATTCCCAGACTAAAGAGGTGAATATTATTTACTTTCATGTTCATGCTGTTCATTTGTTGAAAGTAGAAATACTTTGTGTGTGTATGCGAGTTGCATTATGCCCAACATTAATCTTGTTGTGTTTAATTTGAATCAATTATGTAAATCTGGAATTTTCATTGCAATTCATTTGAGTCATTGTGAAAGCTGTACAAATACTGTTTTAATGGGGTTCCACTGTATAAACTTTGTCATGCGCATTAATTACATGCTTAGTTATATGCTGATTCTTTAAACATTCATTGTTTTTGTTGTTTTGATAAAGGAGGGTCTGGAGGACAAAAGGAGAAAAGTGGAATTGCTTGCTGAAAAGTAAGTAGGCTGTTGCTTTTGCCACCTTTTAATTTCATGGCTTAGACAACTTTAACTTTCATGACGACACCCATATGTCCATCCATTATGATGCTGTATGACAACTGCCCCTTTTTTAATATCGCTGTATTGCATTACATTCTGATGAGTCGGTTCTAAACTTTGGTGTTTGTAGGCCACTATTGCTGTCTGATGCACCTGAAAGTTCACCTGCAAAGTTCAAACCAGCAAGGGTATGTATTTGTTGGAGTGTATTATATGACATTAGATATGCTATACAGATTTAATATTCACTAGCATTTTAACTCGCGTAAAGTAGTGGATTGCTTTTCCATTAACATTTCTGTATGAAATGTCGTTTAAATTTGCTCATGTTTACGTCTTTATGGGTGGTTTGTCTCTTTCGCCTCGCTTGAAGACCCCACCACCGAAGTGTACGGAGTGTAAGCAGTTTCTGGATGACCGTGACCTGAAATTGTTTCAAGGAGACCCAGATGATGCAGTAAGTTTTCTTTGTAATCGTGTCCCGCCTTCTCGCATTCCATTATCGGCTGACTTTGCTGATGTCATTTAAGGGCTCAATTGTGTCAATTTGATAGTGTAAAGTCATAAGTTCACCACTCAGTTTTATCCATTTCACTTGTGTGTCCGTTGTAAAATATATATTTAACTGAGGTCCTTACAAATATATATAAAACATGGCCAGTCCAATTGGCTAAATGGTCAGAATCTGAGCTGTAGAAAAAATCATGTAATTTTAGTCATTTGTGACATTCCCAAGCACATGATTTTGCCTTTTTAGATTTAAGGGTGACTGTTAAGGTCATGTTTTTTTTTTCATTTATTGAAATAATCATATTTGACTTTGCCGTAGTGTCAATTGCCTGGCAATTCAAAACGTGATATAATCCAGTAGTTCTCAACTATTTTAGTTTGTCGGCTCCTAAATAAAGACCATTTGTCCTCTCGCCCCATACCCTCCAAACCTCACTTAAAGTATCTATTGGCGTGTTGTGCATTCGTGTTTTGTCACTGCAATGTGGTGCCAATTGTTCTGCCTGCACATTAGCAACTTATACTGTACGGCATCCATGCCACAGCCTGTCCCCCACCCCCCCTGAAATGCCGTGATGGGGTTTGCTGAACCACATCGAGAGACATACTGGTAAGATGCGTCAGATTTATTAATGTAAAGTTTCTACCCTGTATTGTTTTCAGCTGGATGAGCCAGAGATGCTTACGGACGAGCGACTCTCGGTGTTTGAAAGCAACTCGGATGCGATGGAAAGCTACGATGACCTACCTCAGCACAAAGTCACAAACTTCAGGTAGGTGTTGCGTCGCAGCATACAACAATGCATTTATTCAAGACTCATTGGTGTGCAAGTAAACTTAATATTCTTAGACAGCTCCTTGAGAATTTCTTTTAACTTTTGGGGAAATACAGACGTCAACTATAGAACATTTATCTGAACGTTTTAATGCCCACTAGGGATCTATCTTCTTCTATTGGTTCCAAATGATGTTGTTTGTACGTACAGTACAAACAATCCCTGTTATTCAAAAAACAACTATTACAACTATAATGAATCTTCTTGCTTCTTTCGGTAAAGTCACGTAGAAGGGAAGTAATAAAATAATAAAAATAAAACATAATAAAATAATTCTCACGACGTTTTATTATGTTTTATTTTTATTATTTTATTACTTCCCTTCTACGTGACTTTACCGAAAGAACCAAGAAGATGAATCCCTGCAGTCACGAAAGTTTTAAATCGAAAAACTATAATGAAATCTGATTTATGTTTTTTTGGATTATTTGCTCAACATGTTATCATGTATGGAGACTGGCGGTGCAGTGGTTTGTATGCTTTGCTATGAACCCAGTGACCTGAGGTCGATTGCTGGCCATGGCTTACTTCACCAACCCACACTGACCAGCATGGTACAATATACGTAAATACCCCCATGACTGCCAAAAAATATATAAATCTGGCCCACAGCATGGGTAAGCCGATAATCCAGCAGTGAATTTACTCAGGCCTGTACATTTTTTTATTAAATTATGATCATGTATTCCTGTGTGCATTTAATGTAGACCATTGATTGCTGACAATTGCAGACTAATTGTGTTGCATTCTCTTTAATCTACGGAGCGTGATTTGGTTATGTCCGTGTGCAGCGTGTACGACCGCAAGCTGCACCTGTGCGCATTCGACACCGGACTCGTGGAAAAAAATGTGGAGCTTTATCTGAGTGGAGTCGTCAAGCCTATTTATGATGAGAATCCCTGCAATGATGGTGTGTGCAAATCAAATAGCCGTTGATAAAAAAAAAAAAATTCAATGTGTACATAGTTTACTTTAGTTTTCTGACTTTTCGAATGATGTAGTATGTGAATAAACCATACATTAGTTTTTGCATTTAAAACATCGAGATCAACTCAAATATACTTCATTTTTACAGTCATGTTAAAATGTAGCTATTTGTCAAAATTTAACTGTTTTGTGATATAACAATGTTTAATTTGTATCCATCAGAAACGGTGCTCTTTTTAAATATATAATGCAGCATTAAATCAGCATTGGAGCTATAAATTTAATGTTAAAAGAATTGCATGTTTTCTATAGATACGTTGCGCTAATGATGGATTTACGTTCTTTGACTAGGTGGTGTGAGTGCCAAGAAGCTGGGTCCCATTAATTCATGGTGGACTACTGGGTTTGATGGAGGAGAAAAGGCCCTTGTTGGCATCACCACGGGTAAATGAGCAAAAGAGTCCTTCCATAGCTTCTGGAACTCACTCTGTTAATATTACACAGTTTCTCATATAATTGTGGATATAACTGTTCAATACACAGGCACACAATGGTACTAATTATGTGCATATTATAGATTTGAAGCTTTCGTGACTGCAAGGATTCATACTCTTAGTTTTTTCGGTAAAGTCACGTAGGTAAAAAATGAAATAAAAGTAAATGTGCATATGATTATTCAGCTTTTTGTGGCTGCTGTTGCGCTTTAAACACTTATGTGGCTCATTTCACATGTTGTTGAAAGTTCCTCTGTTGCTTTTTTTGCTAAGACATGCCCATGACTCCATTAACAACTCCACTCAGGTGATGTTTTTTGGTAATTTTGTCAAAATGCATCTGGCCCATGATGCTTGTTTATCATTCCACCCTCAGTTGTACCATGAACATTTTATTTCTACCAAGTCTTGCCAAGGGCCATGTGGTCTAAATTAGCAGTCATGTAATTAAACTAATGATTTACCAGAGGCCTTAGTTCTGGCTTGTGTAATTGTGTGTTTGATGCATGTCATCATGCACCTGTGCTCCAGCATTTGCCGACTACATCTTAATGAACCCAAGCGAGGAGTACGCCTCGACGTTTGCTGTGATGCAGGAGAAGATCTACATGTTCAAGATCGTCATCGAGTTCCTGCAGCACAACCGGGATGCCACCTATGAGGACCTGCTCAACAAGATCGAGGTCAGTCTCTTAGCGCAGGTGAAATCTGTAATGAGAACATTGAAAAATAATAAAAGGGCATATCACCGGATTTATGCATGTCCCCTTTATATATTATAATGCCACTGCATGTGAACAGTTCTCATGATAGGTGAGTGATGGTGCTGTGCTACTGATTTTAGTAATCATCTTTAATTGACACTGTTCTTGCTTAATCTATAAATATACTAGCTTTACTACCCGGCTTCGCCCGGGTCTTGGATCCACGACGCTAGGCCGCCTTTGTCTCCCCAGTGGCGATGTTCATACGCCACAGCAGTTACTCGTTTTGAGGCTGAGTAGACCTAGGGGAGGCCCAGGACCGGTTCAAATAATCGTCACCGGTGGTGGCCGTGAGCGGGAATGGAACTCGGGTCGCCGGGTTCGTAGCGTGGCGCGCTAACCACGACACTACATTGCGTTACGCTTCCGTTGTAGGATTTGTGTGAGGCGCGCCGATCCGCTGTAGGGTTTTAGTGAGGCGCGCCGATCCGTTGTAGGGTTTGTGTGAGGCGCGCCGATCTGTTGTAGGGTTTTAGTGAGGTGCGCTGATCCGTTGTAGTGTTTTAGTGAGGCGCGCCGATCCGTTGTAGGGTTTTAGTGAGGCGCGCCGATCCGTTGTAGGGTTTTAGTGAGGCGCGCCGATCCGTTGTAGGGTTTTAGTGAGGCGCGCCGATCCGTTGTAGGGTTTTAGTGAGGCGCGCTGATCCGTTGTAGGGTTTTAGTGAGGGGCGCCGATCCGTTGTAGGGTTTTAGTGAGGCGCGCCGATCCGTTGTAGGGTTTTAGTGAGGCGCGCCGATCCGTTGTAGGGTTTTAGTGAGGCGCACCGATCCGTTGTAGGGTTTTAGTGAGGGGCGCCGATCCCCCGCGATACAATAATACTGTGTAATCGCTATAATTTTATGATTTACCGAGCGTATAATAGTAATTGCACACATTGTGGTGGGGGGGGAGTGAAGAGGACGTGAAACTTTGTGTTAATGCGTGCGCCTATTTTTAACGGGAATAAAAAATGGCGTCCACCCCACGTCGAAAAAGTCGCTACTCGTTGCCAGGGGCAACCGCCGTCCAATGAAAGTGCGTATGGTCCGGCGACACACACACACACAGACAGATAGACAGACAGATTCGCGATTTTATATATATATAGATACTTAGAACAGCGATAATCAACATTGTTGGTATGGTGTCCCTCACGTTGACCCTGCCCCCGAGGTTACGAACACCGTGTTGCCTCCAGGAAAAACACGGCGTTCGTAATGTATTTGTGTCATGTTGTGTATTCAAGTCCTTTGTTGCCACGACGTAGAGAAAAAATTCTCCCTGCTCATTCAAAAATTATCCTTAATAATATCCATGCCGCAGTCTGCGCTTCCCCTGAAAGGCTTCCAGGGGGGCATGACGCACAGATTGCAAACTGTTGGCTTCAATCAAACTTGAACTGTTGTTTTGGATCCCAGAAAAAAGCATAGTTTATCATATATTGTTATACTCAAGACATGTTTTAATGTATACATCTCTACCGGAATGAAGACAATGTCAGTATTAATAACATATGTCTCGACTTTGTAAATGATGCGCATGAATGTGCAACGATTCGTCAATTTAAAATGTATTATTATGCTCATTGTGAGAATTAATTGTTGATTTTGAAAATTATTTGAAAATAATTTCCCAGTGTTAAGGCTAAAGAAGTGAACAAAACTGCAAATGAGAAAAAATAACAAGAATGCAAACAAGACCCTAAAAAAGAGATGAAAGAGATTTGATTTTGCAATAAAATTGCGCTCCTGAATTGTGAAATTCATCAAATGACTGGAGAAGTTATGTAATATTGTACAACAATTGTTTTAATCGGCTGCTGGATGAAGGCCTCCTCACACGATGAGTCATTGGTGTTATTTGACCATACTTCACGCTGATCAGTGAGGGTTTGTGAATGTGAACTCGACCGGTTGCGATACAACTCGCCACTCGTGTTGGCCTTGGCCCGAGAATAAAGGCAAGTTCATAGAGTAGTGCTCGAACTACTTCACCAGCGTTCCATTACACATTATGATGCGAGATTACTGATCAAAAATGGATTGTAGGCAATTTCCTCTACATGCCTTTTGTGAGATGATAAATGAGTGAGTGAGCGATGAAATGACTTTGCTTTCATTCGTTCCATCTGCCTGCGTTTTCTTGCACTAGACGACGGTGCCCCCGTGCGGCCTTAGCTTCACGCGCTTTACGGAGGACTCGCTGCTGCGCCACGCGCAGTTCATTGTGGAGCAAGTGGAGAGCTACGACGAGGCGGGAGACGAGGACGAGCCGCCCATTATCATCACGCCCTGCATGCGCGACCTCATCAAGCTGGCCGGCGTCACACTCGGGAAGCGGTGTGTGCAGGCACCATCCCGCCTCCTCCCTTTCTGTTTTTGGTGCCTCTCTTTTTCCACTGTACAACTGAGCCTTACCGGAGCCGTACAGAGCCAGACTGGCTCGCTCGGCACAGGAAGCGCCATGTTTTTTTTTGGTCATGACGCATGTAGATGATACGATGACACCATCTCCTCGATGTTCTATCAAAATCTAATGGGGGGTCCATTTATCGTGAGTAGTGTTTTTTTTTTACGACAAAATAATCCTGAATCTTTGCAGATCTTCAAATATAAGTAAGGATTGGTCTGGTTACTACTTGGTTTAGGCTGAAACGTGGTCAAGAGATGACCATATAGCAATAGATTACATTCACGTTTTGAGTGACTCATAAGAGTCATGGGTTTTTTCCGGTTCCACCCAATGCAAAGCACTCGATTATGGAAATGGACAAACATCAAATGTGTCGGACCCTTCTGAAAGACCCATCGTGGCTTGGCTAAGTAAAGCAAATTATTAGTAGCAATATATCCGGTGTTGAAGATATACAATTCTACTACCGGTTAAATGCAGACCAGCAGAGGGGGAAGAGGCGCAGATTGAGGTTTGACCTGCCCTTTAACCCCTTTACACTCTCTGGACAAGCATGAAGATGACTGTAGCCATTTAGGTATGCATGGAAACCTGGTTAAAATGGTGCTGTAAAATAGTAGCTTGTAAATGTTCTGTGCATAGCAAAATAAAATTCATAAATGTGTCCTTTGTTGAATGTTGTAAAGCATTTTTTTATTAGTATTGGAATGACCTTCTTACAAGTGTTGGGAAGGAAAATTGAATTCCCTTCGAAAAGTACCTGGATTTGTCTTTCTTTTACAGTCGGTGAAGGACATGCATTGTGAGGTGAAAAAATAGCTGAAGTTTTGGGAGGCAGAGAGTTCTATGACTGAATGAAAATACCACATGCTTTAAAGGGTCTTTACAATCTCGCATTGTTTCATATTGTTTATTCCCCCATTCTTGATGCTCTCTCTTGCAGGAGAGCCCAGCGTAGGCAGACCATTAAGCACCCGACAAAGATCGCCAAAGACGCCAAGGGCCCCAGCAAGGCCACCACCACGCTGCTCGTTCGGCAGATCTTCGACGAGTTCTTTGATGAGCAGATAGAGCAGCGGGACAAGGAGAATGTGATAAAGCGCCGCCGCTGTGGGGTCTGCGAGGTAATGCTGTGCAACAGCGGCGACGCTGTGCTGGAAGAAAGCAGCTGTGATGGGTCAACTCTCCTCTGCCTTACAGTCGAGCAAATTTTGAGATATAGGGGTGTAATAATGCGTTGATTCATTTCAATGCTTTCAAATTCACACTTAATGCTCAACATGCGTGCATGCATGAATGCATCTGATATATGGCCTTACAAAACTACAACGTGCGAGTCATAAGTAATACATCCTTTTAATGCATGATTCCATGCGGATGTTGTGAGCGATTTGATATATACTACATAGTAACTCGACATTTCCATATTCATCCGTGCAACAAATTTGACATTTGTCACAATTCATGTTTGCAATGGGAATTAATTCTGTTTGTCTTGCTCATTAGTATATATCCATACCTCAGTCTGTTAGCATAAATGTTGCATAAATAGCACATTCTGTAGATTCATGCAACTGAATAGTATAGTAACTATTTCCGAAAGTTCTTTGATTTTCTGAATGAAATCGTGACCCAGAATTGAAACGATTTCGCAAAAATCACACAAGTCGTGAACCCGGCACATGATTATTACGTTATCAACACCTCTTTGTAGTTCATACATTGTCACAAATTGCAATCTAATTATTTGCAGGACAAGCCAAGACTGAAATTATTGTAAAATGTAAGTGCCATTTCCTATAAATGACCTATATCAGAGCCACTCGAGCTCTGATATCCAAATTATTAACTAGTTGGTTGTGTATCGTATCAGTAAGTCAGGTATGGTAGGGCAAGGTCAAAATGCATATTTTAGAATGTATTCGTGTTACATTTGAATAGTGTAAATAATATGCCTGAATATTTCTATATTGACCGAGGTCAAGTTTGTTCTGACTTTGGATCTGTTAAGATATAGATGGGTGACAAGGTTCCTAAAAGTGTGTGTTTTATTGTGTAGGTGTGCCAACAACAAGACTGTGGGAAATGTTCAACCTGCAAGGTCATGCCTAAATTTGGCGGAATTGGACGCTTCAAGCAAGCCTGCATGAACCGGAAGTGCGTATCCCATTGCATTCTGTGAACACACGTAGTTCTCTCGCTGCCTGTATTCTTTTAGTCGGGTTATATCTTTGGCCAGCGTTTGTTTAGATTTATGTTATTGTCTATCCTTGCCAACTAAGGTTGAAACAGTTACGCATTGTCTCCATCCATCTATAAAGGGGTGGGTGGGCACAGTAAATTTTGACTTAAAACTTTCGTGATTGCAGTAATTAATATTCTTGGTTCTTTCAGTAAAGTAACGTAGATAGAAAATAAAAAAAATAAAAAACCACGACGTTTCGATGGCAACACGGTCCTCATCAGGCGGAGAGAAAAGATGAAGACCGTGTTGCAATCAAAACGTCGTGGTTTTTTATTTTCTATCTACGTGACTTTACCGAAAGAACCAAGAATATGGGCACAGTAACTTATAAAGATCCAATATGAACCAATTGTAGTATAAAGTTGTGTTGCTATTTGAAACCTGCCCTCTTGAAGGCAGAATACATTGAACAAAGGATTGCAAAAAAGGATGAGTTGCAAATATGAAAATGTTTTTGCCCTGACATCTACCCATCAGCTTCAATACTGCTAATTAAATAATTCCAAAGACAAACCCATGTTTACATTAATTAGCATCATCCTTCATGTTTTTTTTTCTCCCAAGTTCTGACTAGATTAGCCACCTTGTTTATACCAATTTGCACATTGGTATTCGTATCGCGTGGGTTGTCAAGTGGTATGGATTGCTGCTGCTGTTCGACCAGGTGTCCAAATATGGCCGTGAAGGAGGCTGAAGAAGATGAGAACTTTGAGGAGTCCGACTCGGAGGAGGTGAATAAGGTCCATCAGAAGAAAGTGACAGACATCAAGAAAAAGAAGAAGTCCAAGTCTCAGATTTCATGGATTGGAGAGCCTCAGAAGGTAAGGTTTATGCATTGCATGCATAGGGCACCCAGGTGGCGAGATGTCATCTGCCTCGCCATTGTATTGATTGACCATGGAATGCATAGCATGTGCCATTGACTGCTATTTTGTGCGTGTGTACGCATGTGGTGAAGACGGAAACCGAACGCAAATACTTCCAGCGTGTTCGTCTGGATGATGAGGAGCTGGGTGTTGGAGACTGTGTGGTCGTGTGTCCAGATGACCCTTCTAAGCCTCTCTTCCCAGCCAGGTAGGGAGGGTACCTAACGAAAGTATTACAGCATAGGTTTTCGTGGTTTTTATGTATAGTTCTCCGACATGTTTTCTGGTTGGATTGCACGTTGATCGACATGACGTTTTGCTTCACGTGCGGGGATCTTCCTCGGTTCTGGATCTGACCTATGATGAAAGCTTAACATCAGACATGCCAAAACACACCATGCAAAATTAGAGCTGTGAATTTAATATTATATTCTTAATTACACTTGGCCCTTGGCTTGTAGCAATATTGAAATGTTTTCCCAGTGGCCATGAATAAATGTCATGTTGATTTGTGCATGTTAAAAACCAGAACATGAATAATTTACTTAAAATAAATGTCAGGCATACTATGTGTGTGTTAACTGCATTGTAGATCGAGATGTTGTCGAAGCCTTGTATTCCACATGTGAACTAATGCAATGTTACACTGGTATTTTGCTCTCTCTGGATTTTTATGGTTTAGTACTGGTGTACATGGCCTAAAAAAAGTTAATTTATAAATGTATTCATGTAATTAATTACCAATAGACCCAGATATTGGAAGCTGAGTGTGACGGCTAGGTTTATTGCTTGGATGGGCAACTTCCACTGTTGCCAGGTTGCCACAAGTGGCTGTGGGGCTACTTGGTCAACGGCAAAATCGATCTTGTATTGTATTCTTGATTCCATCCCTATGCTCCCTGCGTTCAACCACCTGCATGACATAGGGGAGGCCGATATCCAACGGTGGATTGACAAAAGGTTGTAAGAGATAGTGACCTAGGATGCGAGATTGGCTCCATGCTGCACATCTCCAAGCCTAATACGGCGTGTCGCTGATTAACAGCGTGCAATGGATGAACTGGACTTGAATTGTGTCCCTCTACTCCCCCGTTTGAAGGATCACGTCCATGTGGGAAGAAGAGAACGGGGAGAAGTGGTTCCACCCACACTGGTTCTGCCGCGGCCCGGACACGGTGCTGGGGGAGACATCAGACCCGCTGGAGCTCTTCCTGGTGGATGAGTGCGAGGACATGTTGCTGTCGTACGTGTACGGGAAGGTGTCCGTAACGTACAAGGCCCCTTCGCCAAACTTTTTCATGGAGGTTGGTGCCAGTCATTGCGCACAGTGGCTCATTCTGTGTGCGTCAGTGGTCATATTATTGCCATTGTAGTTTAGTGCTATGCTGTGGGCAGCAGAGGGCAGTGCAGAAAAATCTATTACTATGTTTGTGGGCGTTTTTTTAAACCAATTTGAAATGAGATATTCATTAATTCATTCATCGCGCATAGCAAGCGAAGGACCGTTGCGTCAAACGTGTGACCTCTTGCGACAGCATTCACATAAACTGCTCTTGCTGCCATGCCAGTGTTTTCGAGTGATTTGTTGAATCCACGGATCACGGGGTGGCAACCATGGGGGCTGCACCATTCCTTTGAGGGTCGCAGTCCACTTCGAATATCGACCGCCAACTGCAGTGGTGCAATTTGTTGGAATCTGCGCATCGAGACGGGCAACGTGTCGACAAAGTGACAACCGTCTCCCTCGAACTAAGCTCTCGATCGCTAGTAGACCGGTCGCAGATGCAATGGTGACTTTTCAAATGTGCAAAAATTAAATTAGATAATTACTTCGTAAAGTGATCAGTATATTTTGCGGTTACTACTAAATAATGCTCTATGTGGACACCACTGCTCATGCTGTACAATATACACTTTAACTTACAAAGTTACTGTTACCACTGGGTGGTGCTAAAACCTCCAGGTATGAAGAATAATTGAAACTATGTTGCTATTTTAATTGAAGTCCATAAGTTAGGTAATATAACCATGGATGAATTTACATTAACAATTTGGAAAATAATTATACCCAATTATAATCAAAATTGTCCTTATTCAATTTTGACTTAAAACTTTCATTTTAAGTCATTCTACATTAACGTTAGCTGCCCCACCCATCTCTAAACCTTTATAAACAGCTTGCCCTCAGAGGCTAACCTCCCTGTTTCTGATAACGACCGCTTGTATTGCAATCTCAACGTCGTGATATTGTTATTCACTTAATTTTTATTATTTTATTGTTATTTGTTCTATCTACGTGACTTTACCGAAAGAACCATAGAATATTCTTCCGTTGAACCATAGAATATGTTCTTATTCATATGCAGCTTCCCGTTTTTGAAATGAAAATGTTCTACTCAACCGATAACTGACATTGTACTGTAAACATGCATTGTATTCATAGTATGCTTTCTGATTAGAGCTGTCTGTGGAATTTGTCACATGTACCTTATTTATACTTCTTTTTCATTCGCTCTCTCCTAACTACATTTATTCATTAAAAAATAAGAAGAAAAAATCCTGGTCATGAGCAGGACAAGTTTGTTTGGTATAAATTACCAAAATAAAGAGTTAACTAAAAAGCAAATCGTAAATTGTTAATGATAAGAGGGAAATGTATGGGAAATTAAATGTCCCTTATGCCCATGCTAAATCTTGAAGGCCATCGACTGTGTAGCAAATCTGGGACCTGGCAGAGGGTAGAAAGCAGTGTCGCGTTGTGGTGGCATCGGCGACTTTTGCCATCATGACATCTCGGTCTTGTTCCAGGCTAGGAGGGTGTCCTGTTTCGGTGATATGGACATAACTTTGCTTGCTGTGCAGGGTGGCATGGAAACAGAAGAAGAAAAGACCAGCAAAGACGACGAAGAGAAATCTTTCTTCTACCAGCTGTGGTACGACCCGGAGTACGCGAGATTCGAGAGCCCTCCCGAAGTGATGCCTTCTGAGGAAAACAAATTCAAGTGAGGATCTTGCAAGCATCCACATGTACACAGTGTAGATTGAATTTGTGACATCTATGCGCGACGTATAATTAAGAGAAAATTAAATGAAACACCAGCATGAACTCTCGCAACCAACATAACTGTCGCGATGTTAATCAATTCGTCAATCAAAACTGTTTCCTATGATCGTGATACCTTCATAGAATTGTGCGTGTGAGAGTTCAATCATTTGAACCTTGCAAATTTGTACACCCTTGTTTCTTTAAGCAAGTCGTTGGAACGATCAAGAAAATCCGTGAAAAGTAAAAGACAAAACAAGATTTTGATTTGAATTGTGAAATTTCATCCAGTCGCATATATAAGCGGGGTTGAATCATTACATGCATACTTTGTGGTGGTGATTACACATTGAATAGGACAGAATGAAAGCGTGGACACCTAAGGGAATAGGAACACCTGCATCTCAGACGATTTGTGTCCACTTAATGTGTAAGCTAGCAGGGTGGCATGTAGCCCCCGAATTCCATCGGCTGGTTTTTAATTAGTATTATCAAGGGTTGGTATTGTCTTTCAGTTTATATATTTTCCATCTTTGTTGTACGTGTGTATAATGTGGCTTTATCATTGCTTGCCCTTGCTTAATAATCCTAGCTGCTACCTTCAATTGGACTATTTGCTGCTGCGTCAAGCCCTCAACTTCACGTTGTATTATTTTAATAATAGAATCATTCGGAGACAAGTGCGTGTGGGTGGTTCTTGTAATGTTGTCAAGCTGTATATTACATTTTGTGCCACATTATATGATCCGTGAAAGAAATGCATTTATTAACGAGGGCTGAAGAAATGTAACTTAACAAGACTTTTTGAAGGCAGCTTCGCAATTCAGACGGTGATCATAAGTTGACATCGTGAATAAATGCCGTACCGTGTCACTACTTGATATTTGATGGCCCTGCGTTCTACGTCTTGAGTGGTAGGAAGTCTCTGCCTCCCACCCTGGCACTGACGAACTCCGTTTTTGTTGTGTTTGTTTGGCCCATGTGCAGGTTTTGCGCTAGCTGCGTGCGGCTGTCGGACCTGAACCAACGGGAGACGCCGTGCGTGCAGACGCGATTGGATAACCCGGAGGATGACGCGATCGTGACGTACATGCTTGCGCTCAAGGACGGTGTCGATTACCGAGTCGGGGATGGGGTCTACCTCATGCCTGACGCCTTCAACTTCAGGTAGTGCAGCGACGCCGCCTTTGTCACCGTTCAAAAGGACCTGTCTTTTTATTTTTCTCCCACGTTTTTATCTTTGCTCTTGCAAGTGCTGTTCCTCTGTTACCTTCCTCGCGAACTTCACTCGTTGATTATTCCGACTGTTGAAGACTCTTGTCGACCAGGCACGGTGACGAAACGTTAACTACCTTGCCTGGTAGACAGGAAGTTGTGGGTTCGATTTTGACTGGCGCCTGTATATTTGGAATTCGCATGTTCTCCCTGTGGTTGCGTGGATTTTTCTCCAGGTCCTCTGGTTTTTCCCTCCACATTTTGAAACATGCGTTTGCAGTATTTGGCTGTGCTAAATTTTCATATGATAAGCCACTTTGTTGAACTATCATTTGTGGCCAGGTTGCTTCTGAAAAAGAGCTATATCGCTCTGGGCCTTCCCTAGTAAAATAAAACATAGTTTTACTGTTTAGCCTCATCCATACTGTGTTAAACCGCTATACTTTAGATCAAAACTCGCACCAAAAAATATGGATCACTTATCTTTATGCTTCTTTCCTGACAGTACTCAATTTTGGAATGTCTTCCCATTGTTTCTGTTCCCAGGCTCTTATGACCTGGCTCATTTAAGGAAACATTAACTGTGTTATCTGTTATACTTCCAAAAGTGTTGTTTTTTTTTGCTTGCAACTTGGTATTTTGGGACTCGGGCTGAGCAACCACTTTGTGAAGAAAGTGTGGATAAACTGGCCTTGTTTTTAGGTCACCTGATGTGTTCACCACGTTGTTGAGTTGTATTGTTTAGTTACGACCTTCCACTTGGGTGGTGGTGCATCCATTATAGCTCACCGCTTGCAGATTCGAGTTAAAATTCCGGGTAAGGTTGACTTGGCCATTCTTTCCTCTGGGGTTGATAAAAATTATTTCCACTCGGTGGCACGTCCTCTTTTGGTTTCTTATGCATTACTGCACCTTGCTACAGGAATATCAAATTTTCACCAATGGCTCAGGGTTGTAAACAGGGGGGGGAATGCATTCGCATAGTTGATTCAATACAAAATTACTTTAATTAATCTTAGTCTTATTTTCTGGTGTTTTCTGTTATTTATATTGCAATGACTTATTATGGCCTATATATTTTTTAAAGATATGACTACCAGCCCACTGTATATTTGATGTTCGCCTCCCCCTCCCTCCGACATGGCCCGTTCCGACGGACAACGCACATCCAAGGGACGTGCGTTGCTCTGCAACGGAAAATAAGAGATAGCTGGCAAGTTGATACTTTGCTTACAATCCTGTACTCAGAGCAGTAAAAATTATTAGCTTTTTATATAATAAAATTCAAGATAATATGTAGCGAGTTATTTTATAATACTCTTTGATTTAAAGAATATTCTCACGAGATCATTAATTATACTCTTAGGTTTTTTCGGTAAAGTCACGTAGGTAAAAATTAATAAGTAATAAACTAATAGAAATAATAGAAATAAAATAATACCTACGTGACTTTACCGAAAAAACTTAAGAGTTTGAATCCTTGCAGTCACGAAAGCTTCAAATCTAGAATTAATTATATTATTAGCACAAATTGAAAAGTTGGAGCATTATTTAATGAACCATGTCAGTATTCTGTATTCGTTGCCCCCACCTCTTTGGTGTGGCTATCTGTGATTTGTCTTTCGAACGTCTTTCACCGTTTCAATACAATGTTTATTTGTTACAGAAAATCCCATAAAGCCAATTGCCCAGCTATTTTCGGTGGCAACAGCCCACAGCCGCTAACAACAGAGTTATTTTTTGGGTACAGAGGAGCCGAGCTAGCAGCCAGCCAGAAAACCCGAGCCATAGATAATTTTTTTCAAGTAGTATGATGATAGTTTGATAGCGTATCAAACACATTTGCGTGGGAAACGTGGCTGGGGTGAAGGGTGGGACCGGGGGCAGGAGGGAGGCATCAATGGCGTCTGCATGACGCACGAGCCCTGCTCAACACTGTGAGATGCGAGTGACGTCATCATGCACCAGGGATATGGCCAGGGAGCCAGAAATTCCACCAGCAGAACGTTTTCGGAATATAATATATATTTAAAAAAAGATATATAGTACATATTAAAAAAGGCAGTCGGTAACTTTTAACCATGTTACTCCTGGTAAGATTTGATATCACAGTATAGTATTTCTTTTTACATTTCATAATTATACTGCTGTAGTTTTAGGCAAAAAAATTTGACATTAAGGTTTTTGCATTCGGTAGAGTAAAACCTCTTCATTCGCTAATTTTTCTTCAGCGAAATTTGATTGTATTATTTGTGATTTTTACATTTGTATACTAGTTGACTTTTGCACCTTTTCCCTTGATTTGGCAATATCGCATTATGGGGAGTAGTATTGAACCTGCGCAGTACAGCAGTGGATGGTGGCCACTGTGCAGCTTTGCAAATGCTGAAGCTTTTACTCAAGTGTTTTTGCCTTGTGCTATTCTTGCCTTATTTGTGGTGGTTATTGATTTATTTCGAATCATGGGTTCTCTAAGTGTCAAGTGAAATGGAGGAAGGGAGAGTAGGAGCCAAAGGCAGAGCAATGTAATGAGTTTATCTCGAAAAGTTACGTTTTTTGATAGACTTTCTCGGTGGTGATAGTGCGTCAGCTGTTGGTTGCCATTACATGGTAAACGAGTCAACAATCCGATTGTATAAATAACTCTCGAAGGCAATTGGGGAGAGTGTGGCGTCAAGTGCATCGATGACCGCCAAATTATAATCATCATTCCCCCATAATCCAAAGTAAATAAAACTTGCACATTTACAGAATAAATAATTGATGGGGTTTTTTTTCCATTGTGTTATATATTTGTATTACTCTACAATGTAACGAAATATAAGGATGTTATTTATGTGTATAGTACAGAATTAATGTTATCAAACATAGTCATTTTCCCCCTTATCCATCAAACACGGAACTTAACATAGAATCTGCTTTTGTAAATACTTTATGTCCATTTCCAAGAACAGAATCTTAGCGGATGTCGAGCCCTTACCGTATTTCGTGAAGTATATTTTGGCCAAAAATTTGCACGGTATTTTGTGGGCTGTTTTTATACTTGTTTAAACTAAAATAAAAATTTGAGGACCAACCTCTTTAGTCACAATGGTACCTAATTCATTGTTGTACCTTGAACTTTAATAGGTTTGTGAATATGCAAACATGGCTAATCGTGTTGGCCATGCATGTTAATTCTCGTTCACTTATTGTTCAGTCACGGTTTGTGCATTAATACACGCAGTTTATTCAAACTGCAAGTGCTTCAGCATGCTGCAAAATGGTTCTTGTTAAAAAATATAGATGTGTGCCAGTGTTTTCTCATTTACATTCGTGGATTTTCTGAAATGCAATCGAGAATTGATTTATCAGTTCCCTGAAATTCAATGGAAAACAGCTCTCAATGTAAACAACTTCCATTTACAGCTCTGGCATAATTATAAACATCTCCACAGCTATAAATCAATGCTTATTTTTTTAAAGGCATGCGTGCATTATGTGTACAGCACTAATGCAATATAAAGCTTGCAAAGCATTGCGAAGCCCATTAAGCATTCCTGTCAGATGGTCAGATTGTGTGTTTTTTTTTAAAGCTTGTGCAGAAGAAGGCATGTTAAGAGTTTTGGACAGTGACATTTTCAATCAATCACCAGTGAAGGTAGTTGCGGAATAAAACTGGCATAAGGCAAATATGTGCAAGCCATTTTTAAATGTAATAAAATTATCACATAAAATATTGTACTTTTTCACAGCACGTTATCATTGTGGATAGCGTACTCTGCAAGTGGTGTCAAAAAAGTCAAGAATTTAGAAACCTCGTAACACCTGCACCCAGTAATTCTGCATAAAATTATCAATGCTGGGTGTTGTGGCACATTGCCTATAATCCAACTCTTAGCATGCAAAGGTTCGTAGATCATATTGACATTTGTGACAACTCCCAAGCACGTGGGTTTGTAGCTCATCTGTGCTAACTTTTAAGTGTTATCACCTAATTTTCTCAAGGTATTCTCACATGCAAACCTCATTTAAAAAGGAATTGTCCCAACAATCTAGTTTATGACCCCTCTCAAATGGTGTCTTGACACTCGGCGAGTCTTTTCAAGAGTTTAATAACGTTATTAATGTGTGCCTTTGTAGGGTGTATTAAATTAACCTCTAATATAATTACCATTGTGCGTCAATATGGTCCAAGTTATATATAGATATAAAATAATATATCATAAAATAGTCTTTGTGTGCCCTCACATAGCATGCATTTTGGGATAAGCTGGTCCTGCATTGATTGGTTCCTCTTCCTATGAACTTCATTGATTCTTCCACCCACGCTGTTTCGTCCCATACATTCAGTGTTCAGCCACCATGCTGCAGTTAACACTCCTTTTTCAGCTTCTTTCTTCCCACTGCTCAACTATGCAATTGCTTCCGATGGTCTCTTAGTTCTTATAACCTTTCTCAGCTCAAACATAATAACTCTTATACCTTCAATAGCGCTGTTTATTTTTGGCCGCATGGCATTTTGGGCTTTGAGGGCCTGTCCTCAGCAACTGTGATGATAAAAAAGATCCATTTGTTTGCAGCGTAAAGCCAGCATCGCCGGTGAAGCGCGCTCCACGGAAGGAGGACATTGATGAGGAGGTACACCCAGAGTATTACCGCAAGTCGTCGGACTACATCAAGGGCAGCAACCTGGATGCTCCCGAGCCTTACCGTGTGGGCCGCATCTCGCAGATCTTCTGCAACAAACGCAACAACCGCGAGACGGACATCAAGTTTAAAATCAACAAATTTTACAGGTGAATTTGTGCTTTCTGATGTCTTCCAAACCTTCAAACATTTTGTCAACTCTACCGCTTGGCCCTCGGCATTGTTGTTTGAGGGCACAGCAGCAACCTGTGTTGTAGGCACGGTTGGAAGTCAATATATAGTTTTGGAGTAGACTAAAAACACGCCTACCATGTCATATTTATAGTTGATTTTATGTTTGCAAATTCAGCGGAGTAATAACTGCGGAGTATTTCAAGCTGTGCTGGCAAACAACTGAAAATGTATTCTAGATTAGAAGTTGAAAATGTAGTCTCTTATATTCAACAGCTTGACAGCTGTAATTGTGTTAACCAGTTGCTTAAATGTCACAAGTGTTTGCCTGGGGCTTTGTGAGTCTATCATTTCTTGGCAGTAATATATTGGGGTTATATTCTCAGCCAGCAAATCTTACCGACTTTGCGAGCAAACTTCATAAAGGCATGAAATCACTGAGCTAAGTTTTTATGCCATTGATTATAATGTAGATTGCTTACATCTCAGTTTTGTCAACATACATCCAAGTGTAGTCTCAGATTCCCAATGGTGCACCATCATATCCGTGCCCGAAAATATTCCATTTCCACTAGCGTAGAAATCATTACCACAGTATGAAAGCTGTTGTTACCGCCCAGTGACGTGAGTTTGCAGGAAAACACAGCTGTTTTGTAGCAGTAGGACCACGTAAGATTCAGTTAAAAATTAAAAATGCCCTGACGTCTTCACTCGGAAAGTGAAACAGAGCTTGCTTGACGTTAATGGGGTTCTAAGTGGCAAGTTGGCGGTGCGGATGTTGCTTCGGAGTCTGTAAGAATAAAAAAGAGGTGGGGTTTTTTTTCCAGCAAGAAAATTATACCAAAAAAACTGATGTCTTGTGAATTGAGCCGAAAAAGTTGTCTAAATATTTACAAACCACAATCTTGACCATTACAAATATCACATTATAGATATTCATGCTTCAGTCCATGAGTTTATGTCGTGAAAATTGAATCTTTCGCCTGTAACTATTACAGAGCAAACGTAAAAGGTTTCAATCTTGATTTGAAGTTTCCTTGTGCCCCTTTTAATAGGGATGGGGTTATTATTTAACAAATAATTGCCCACAGAAATTGAATTCATTTCAGACCTTTTTACAAGCTATATGAAAATGCCCTGAGTGTTCTCAAAAATGAAACTAGACATAAAAACTGTGATCCATATACAAACACAGACCGAAAATAATTGCTTAAGCTGAGCTGCACATGAGCTGTACACAGCAGGGGTGTCATTGTGTTTGAGTGCATTTCATTACAGTTATTTTTCTGGGTTTCATCCAACCTTATATATCATTTGTATCTCTGGTCAAGTATATAACGAAACAATTGTATTTGATGTTGTACACCATGTTCAAATTGCGTTGGATTTATGGAAAAGAGTTTGTCAGTGGGCAGATCACACCTTCGATTGGCACATTTGCCCACGTATGATGTGACAACGTTCGACATGCATACATACGTCACATGTGGTGGGGTAAAGTGTGGAAACTCCCACGTCTTCCAAGATGTCTGGCCAGTGTGCAGACTAATACCCCCTAGAGGGACTCTCTAGTGCTCCCACTAGTGGAAGCTCTGGGGACAGCAGTGGTATGAGTAAGCAATTGCAAGTCTAGATATTGGTCCAATTATACTGGTAGGAACCTCCTGGTTACACCAACCCACAGGGGATTATTGTGTCAGTCTGTCGTGCATCTAAAAATGGGAGGGGTGGGGCTGGGTGGGGAGGGGAGGGAGGGGCGGGGTGGGGACGGGAGAGTCAAGAGGGTGGGGCGGGGTGGGGCTGCGTGGGGAGGGGCTGGTCACCCCGTGGTGCCCTTATAAAACTCAACGTTTAACCTACTCACGCCGGCTTGTGCCCGCCCTCACAGTCGGGCATATTTGCGGAATACACCACGCCGCCGTTGACCCTTACCATTGACCGAGCAACCCAACGTTCCTACCAGCTCCCTCCGCAGGAATGTGTTATTATATTGCTTCCATGAAAACCAAATTTTATTCACTTACATGTTCTAAAAAAGCAATACAACAGAATGTAAAAAAAATGACTATACGGCACAGTACTAAACTGGCTCTGTCGGGCACGTGGCGTTTGTGCATTATAAATGCGTGCGTGCGTGCATGTGTGTGCTCACCGCAGGCCAGAGAACACGCACAAGGGCATCAGCGCAGCATTCCATGGTGACGTGAACCTGCTGTACTGGAGCGACGAGGAGACTGTCGTGGAGTTCCGCAACGTGCAGGGAAAATGCCGCGTGGAGTACGGAGAGGACCTGCCCGAGTCTGTGGCCGAGTACTCGCAGGGAGGGCCCGACCGCTTCTACTTCCTTGAGGTGATGCAACCAAAACTCCATGCTGCCCCCCTCCCACACCCCCACAGCTCCCAGCTGTGGACTTACGACCACGCATTGGGGATGTGCTTCGGTGTTCGACCAGACTAGGGCTAAATTCACCTTTTGATATAAAATCTGCTTCTTTCCAATGGCTGATGTAGATTGCAGAGCAACAACTACAATTTCACGTTCAGGTGGCCAAGCCAGATAACCACGTCTGGAGCAGCAGAGTGTATCGCTGTGATGGCTCCTTCGTATTTGTGAATCGGACATTGCGTTATTATATGTTGCATGGTCTGGTCTGGATGACCACAGTCGCACACTGGAGAGTTTTATATTTTCCATTTGTGCATCGAGTATCTGCATCTGCTATGGTTTGTGTGGATGCGGTTTAAGGTGGTGGTGGTTTTGGATCATGCAGATTGAACTGTCTTGAGTAAAACATATCGAATTGGTACAGCAACTAGGTTCCTAGTTGCTACCTGTGGACATTAAGAGAATCTTATCTCACGTGGGTTTTCTCTGGGCAACTAGTTTTCTCCTCCCACACAAACCCCCGACCCCCGCTCAGAATTAGCCGGTAGATTGCAGTTTGTCGTGCACCATCGTAGACCCTGATTTCCCCACCCAAGTGAATTACACTAGCATTAAACAATTGTGTAAGCCACTGTCATACATATTAACACGTAGGCTTTCCTGACATGTTATCCAAAAGAGTTTTTTTTGGGTTAGATCGCGTAAATATAAATTTATCGTTAAACCTGCCACCACCCGACACAGCCAATTAGTAAAGTTTGTCACGTAAATTAAACATTCCAATTCGTTACTAGTACAGCACACCGGTGTGTTGGAGAGTAAACCCACAACATTTACATTTCAGTATGATGTTTGACCAGTAATTACAATTAGCATCATCAGACAACATCCAGATTTGTGGAGAAATGTCATACATTTGCCATACATTTTTGCATTGTTAAAGGTTACTTGTGATCTTGGCAAATGGGTCACTGTTCGTTATTTTTGTTCCTTCGTATAAAACACGAGTCTTTTTAAAGCAAAAATCACTGGTTACTGTGTTTAATTGTATTCCTCTTTGTTAGCCTGCTCAATTGAACGCATTTTTGTGAATCATTTTGGATGGCCTGCTGTGACCTGCCTCACCGTTGCAGGCATACAATGCCAAGACAAAGAGCTTTGAGGATGTTCCTTACAATGCACGCAGTGCAGGCTGCAGAGGGAAGGGCAAAGGCAAAGGAAAAGGTGAGATATCACATTGAATATTTATTCACACCCAAAATATACCAACGTTCTTTTTGGTTCTGTTTCTTGCATGGCATTTTTTTTTACTTATGCATGTACATCCTGACCTTTTAGTAAAATAATAAGGTTTACTGTAGTTATGGCACTGCCCCAAATTGTACATGCATTAGCAGCATTTCTTTTTAAAAAAGTTTATTCACCCCCCAATATAAATTCCTCTTCAAAGAATACATTCATAGGCTCATTGCTTTTGAGGGTGGCTGAAGAGCCAAAGTAGTTGGCGCACACTCCCCTCTGTCGGTTTGCGTGCATTGTTGACGGTTTGATTCCCATGGCTACCTGATAATGTTCATATCAAAGTGGATGTGAATGATTCCATCACGTAATCATTTGGAAGAGTAACCCGTTGTGTGCTGCTGCCACGGGCCCATGTTTCGACATTACTCTCGAGTTGAAAAAATAAAAATGTCAGTGCTTGCTCAGCATATAATATTCAGTTCTCCCCTACATAAGGGATATTTGATCTCACTGATAAAGTACATGAAGAAAATAGTTAAATAATTGTTTGTGCTTTCGCAATTGCTACATGCCATTTTGCATCTGTGGGACAATAATCTTGACATTGGAAGGAAGACATTTGTTGTCAATTGTAGTTGTTTTTAGAATTTTAAGTGATTACCTTTGGGCTTACAGCAAGATAAAAGAAAAGTAATGTTTTATTTTATCATTCTGCCACCCCCTCCTCCCCCAATATTGTCTTATAATTGTGCTATCGGCGCCATGTCATGTGATACGGTATAATTTTGAATCGCTTGAAGAGATCATTACATGAGAGTGGATATAACAGAGCTACCTCAGATTCCTTCAAGTGACCTGTGGCCCACACATAGTAGAGAGCAGCACATCTAATTTGCTCTGCCTAAGAGAATACGGTTTGTCATATGACAGCATGACAGCCAAAGATATATATTTAAATCTAAGAACTGGAATTCAGCCAAATTAACTGCAAAACTACATTTAATGTAATGGATTTATTAGTCGGTCATTGGTGACCGAGCTGAGACCATCAACTCATACTTCAGGGGACACGGTTTGATCATAAGCAGCTTCCTGGATTCAAACCCAGAACCTCAGCGGTGCCAGTTGAGAGCTATGGCTTCTGAGACACACCCGGTCTCTTCAGTGAGCGGTTCGTAACACATCTCCATTGTCGTTTCACGTCCAGGCAAAGGCAAGGGGAAGGTGAGTGTAGAGCACTCGGTGGAAAAGGAGCCTGAGGAGAAGGTGAGGAAGCTTCGGGGTCTGGACGTCTTCTCGGGCTGTGGTGGCCTCTCGGAGGGCTTCCACCAAGCAGGTACACAACATCTTTCAGCTGTATTTAGACCATCCATAAATCCAGTGTACCGTAATTATAGGGAAAGGCAGGTATTGAGAGTACTTCCACGCAGAGGGAAAGTATATAAGGGAGAAGTTCCATCATCATTGACTTCCATGATCTATCCACAGCTGGATGAAGGCCTCCATGCAGTTTTGTTCATGGGGTTGTTTGACCATGTGTCGCCACAAGTTGGTGAACGGGAAGCAAGGGCCAGGGCCAGTCGTAATATAACTCGCCAATGTGTCTGCAATATCTTATGTAGGCATCACAGAGACTAAGTGGGCCATCGAGATGTGGGAGCCAGCCGCGCAGGCCTTCCGTCTCAACAACCCGGGCAGCACGGTTTTCACGGAGGACTGCAACATTCTGCTAAAGCTGGTCATGTCAGGAGAGAAAACCAACGGGCTAGGCCAGCGGCTGCCGCAGAAGGGCGACGTTGAGCTCCTGTGTGGCGGTCCGCCCTGCCAGGGCTTCAGTGGCATGAACCGATTCAACTCTCGCACGTACTCCATGTTCAAGAACTCGCTCGTCGTTTCCTATCTCAGGTGAGCGCACAGATGGGGGGAGCAGGGCATTGGCTCTAAGCACGTCTGCGGGTTTTTGCATGTGAATATCAGCTTCATGGTTAAATGTTGGCTTTTTGGATGGGAGCCATGTCTTGGCAATTGTATTGTTCAACTTTGCATACCCTGCATATGTAATGCTCTACTTGTGTGTCTGTGTGCCATGGAATTGATTTAAAATTAATGCACCATGTAGCCATATCCCAAAATGATAAACAAGGATGCAATAACATGGCTATATCTTTACAGCGATGTATACATATTTTTGAGAAATATTATTCTTTATATTACAATTTATATTTACAAAAGACTGAATAATACTGCTTTAAAAAGGGAAAAAATGCACAAGTGGTGATATTTGGGGGAATGGCCCTTCTTCATAGCAATACTGCCAACGCAGCATTACTGTTTTTTTTTTCATTTGAACTAATAGTGGGGTTTAATGATTAAATGCAGCCATTCGTTTAATTACTTTTATCATATAAATGGGTTGCATGCTGTGCAAAGTTCTGGGACTTAAGTAGTGTAACCTTGCTGTTAACGGCGTAATTTCACAGCCTGCTTGATTATAGCACGGATTCAGTCACAGTTTTTGTGCTGGTGGAATTAAATAGGTTGAAGGTGTGTGAGAATACATGGAGTGTGTTTAAATTTTTAAAATACTCATTACAATTTCAAGGTTTTTCTTGACATAGAAAAAAATATTTGAAGAAAAAAAAATTGGCAGGTTTTCCGGGTCACGGATATAATTGCTTCTTGGTTGTCTAGTTGGACCATGAACATGTGTGGTCAGTTTATTTAAACATATGCCTCGTACAGTAGCCTGCCAGGCTTTCTTAACGATATCAAACAAAACATTCCACTGGAAAAACAAGTTGATATTTCCAAACTGCTATTTTGAGCACAAGAAGTGTAATGTAAACATTCACAGATGATGGCATTCAAGAGGTATGTCTACTTTGTAGGTTACAGTTATTTTTTTTTTTGCATCCATGTTATATGTTGCATGTTACCATTCATCATTCAGCATACAAAGATATTTTTTTAACTCTGGCTAAGCAATGTTATACCGTACGAATATTTACTTCTCTTCTCCTGGACGCATTGAACTCAGGGCTGGTCACTTGAGTGCAGGCTGTAATTTATGGAGTGTTGGTTCACTTCACTCGTAGTTTATTTAAAGCGATGAAATGTTTGGATGTGTAAATGTAAGATTTCTGTTGAATACAAATTGGCGACTACCATATGAAAAACTACCCAGGGAAATGTTTCGAATTGAAATAAGGCACACGCTGGGCTAAACACTGTTTTGCTAAACGCAGTTTTATAACATCCTAGCATTTAAATAACATTGATATATGAATAAAAGTGGATTTTGGTGAGATTACACATGGCAATGTAATTTTATCCATTTCACTTGTGGTATAGGTGTTGAAATGTTGAACATCAGGGGGTGGTCCAGTGCTGACATTTCTTTCTCGGAGTGAATTTCAGTTGGCGCCGGTGTGCGCCTCCATGGCATTAAACATACTACAGAAGCTCGCTGCCGGCAGGTGCATCATCGAGCCGAGTTTCAAATATAAAAATTGCCTTACTTTGGAACTTTCCCACAAGTTATGATTCTGCGAAATTTATAGCAACGCGAGGAGATTTTATTTATTTAAACACTGCAGTGTACAGGAGGTCTTGTTGAAGCATTCATGGGAAACACGCAGACTTGAACATATATACAAAGACCTTTCGCCGTAAAGGCCATTGGTGCAAGTTATTTTATTGCGCGTACATCAAGTTGGTCAAGGTCAACTGCATAAAATGACCCACCTGGTGTGGTATGTGGATATCTGTTTCAGAGGGTAGACTAAGGAAGCGGGGGGGTGTTGCTAGCCACACCACACCTACCATCCCCTTGCATGTGTGGTGCCATTATTAATGAATATGTGCTTGCGAAACGAACACACGTACATACACTCATAGATTCACACGTACAAGGTTTTGGACATTGAGCAATTCCCAGTAGCACTAGCAGTTATCTTGCTGTGTTTCGTTACGAATCCATCCAGAGCCTGCAGCTGTCTTCATCTGCGCTAACGCTGCCCTCCGTGTGCGTCCGCAGCTACTGCGACTACTACCGTCCGCGTTTCTTCCTGCTGGAGAATGTGCGCAACTTTGTGTCCTTCAAGCGCTCCATGGTGCTGAAACTCACGCTGCGCTGCCTTGTGCGCATGGGATATCAGTGCACGTTTGGCGTCATGCAGGTTTGTCTGCCTGCCACACTCCCTTGCCAGCAGCCTCTGCTGTCTTTATAAGAACCAGCACTCCACGTTTAGCATTACATATTGCCTGAGTGTGTCGATATTTTATTTATTTACCCCTTTTGCTCCACTGCCAACTCGGATCAATTTCTGAGTTTTTTTCATATGTTTTTATTATACTTCAATTGGAGCCCGGTACAGAGCATAAATCGCGACGTAGGGAGGGGGTACAGAAACCACGCGGACATAAGTCCTCTGAACGCAGTGCACTTGAGTTGAAAGAAGGGGGGGACCTGGGCTCGCTGCCCCACTGAGTGGGGGGAGGGGGGTAGCGGGGAATGGGGGGAGAAATGGAAAAATAAAAAGGAAGGACAATCTTGATTTGTTGCTTTCGTGACTGCAGGAATCTATACTCTTTGGTTGTTTCGGTAAAGTCACGTAGGTATAAAATAAATCACGACGTTTCGGGTGCAACACAAGCGTCCGTCATCAGGTAGGATGACGGACACTTGTGTTTTATTCATATATCAATGTTATTTCATCAGGTGGGATGACGGACGCTTGTGTTGCGCCCGAAACGTCGTGATTTATTTTATTTTGTACCTACGTGACTTTACCGAAAGAACCAAAAGTGTAAGGAAGGACACTTAGGAAGGAATAACTTACATGCGCTTGGTGAACATATCCAACCTATTATAGTCTCATAGAGCGGTGATCTGCTCCCGTCCATCCCCAGGGTAATATCTGAGTTTTTAGATAATAGGCTGACGTTTTACAAGAGTCATTGAAACGATGGGTTTATATTTTTATCAGGTGGTGTGAGACGAACGTGGCGAGCCATTGGTCCATGTGCACCATGGCCAACGTGTGTTCCCTTAATATTTTATCTGTGTGGCATCGTTAAAAAAGTTGCCTCTGCATACTCATTCCATCTGTGCCAATGTGTGCCATTTTTCTGAAAAAATATAGAATACGTGAATACACACCACATCTTTTTTGTTATACTCTTTTGAGTTCGAGGATGGGAAGGTTTTAGACCCTCCGGACCAAAGACGTTCATTATTTTTACATTTAACGATAAAATATTTCTCATTAATAAACAGAATAATGTATTATCCTATTTAAAACTGAATAAGATTGACAGACATTCAAAGGTGTGTCTTTGTTATGATATCTATAAGATGTGTTTGTTGAAGCTGGTAATGTGAATATAGTGAAGTGAAATGAGGAAAACTAATGGCATCAAAGCAAAATCCAGCTGACACGCAGCATTTGAGCTGTCAAATGAGCATACAAACTCAGCATATTTTCTTGGAGACTTTTTGAAACAAGTACTTTGTTCCCCACTTTTCTGAGCCTCATGGACTTATATTGTCCCAATTTCGTTTTCTGTCAAGGTAAAAATTTCCCTCGTTCGACTTAATTAGAATGAAATTTACCTTGTGCAATGGATACAAATTCCAATGTATTTGAATAACATGGCTGTATCCAACTAAAATTAAGCAACTTCATAGCATGTGAGGCTTCGCGTGATGTGAAACATCTTGAAGAGGAAATACATGGTTTTATTTGCACGTCTTAAAAAGCTAACCCTGTGTTAAAATTACAAACTGCTGATTAACGTAATTTGTTACTAATACGGTAATATGCACAGGTCATGTTTGCAGAGCATTTTTCTAAAACACATTTACATTTTACACAGTTTTACATTTTCTCGTACCGATGTTAAGAAGGAATTACCTGTAATCAATATGAGAAGAACATTTTTACTTTACGAATTAATGACACATCCACCTTAGGCTTAACTGCAATTGCCTTTATCTCGGCTCTATTTGTGGAATGCTTTTACCGATTCCTTCACTCATATGCAGCAGCAGCATCCACTAAGTGATGGTTTGCATGTGCTTTTGCGCTCCGTTAGTGGTGTCGCAATTGGCAGCATCATTAAACCTGACTTACAGGTTGTAAGATTAAACGGTCATCCAGGTCATATATGGTTCTAAAAGGTCTATATGAATAAAACCAATCAAGAGTGCTTTGATAATGCTTGCTTTATTGCTCTACCTTAATTTATTTAGCTTTTGTCATTTTGGTCACTCTTGCAAATAATGCTCTCTTTCCTGGTCTCTTGAGGTCTTACCCAGTGAAAACAATCAACATTATAATCCTTACATGAATCAATTTGCTTCTGAAACATTTGCCAAAACCGTTGCCTGCTTCCTTACAAATCTCCGTCATCTTGGTGTAGCTCAATTGTCGGAATTGAGTCTTGACGGAATCCTTTAATTAGATTTTCACACAAAGTAGCGATGGCGTGACAGACCGATGCATGCGTAGACTGTTTAATTTAATACCATGTTTAGAGGCTAGGAGTTCAGGTGATTAAAGAATGCTCTGAAGCTAATTTGAAAGTTGCAACACTGTACTCTTTGGTTCTTTCGGTAAAGTCACGTAGGTAGAACATTTATATATCACGACGTTTTGATCGCACACAAGCGACCGTCTTCTCGCTCATCTGAAGACGGTCGCTTTACCGAAAGAACCAAAGAGTATGGATTCCTGCAGTCACGAAAGCTTGAAATCAAGATCGCAACACTGTATATTTAGCAAAGACAGAATCGTTAAATTAGAGAATAGCTCCGTGCAATTATAACTGATATGGCCATGCAGTAAATCCAAAGTTAACAATGGCTCTAAATGGCACCCACTTTTATGTCACATTCCAGCCATCCTCGCAGCAGTTTTTAGCCGGCCATCGAACAAAAAGACAGTCACTGCATTGCACGCTTTCAGATGCGCTTTTGTGGCTGTATGGAACGCTCTTCCTTCAAATGTTAGGAAGCCACTGCAGCTATATACTTTTAAATTCTGATTGAAAACTTTTTTTAGAACTGCTATTTGTGTTTAGTTTGTTGACCTTCCCTGCACCTCTGATTAGCATGTTTGGCTATGTACGGTGTGAAATAAGTTCTGCATACATACATACATACATTTTCCTGTGCTCATATTTTACTTTGACCTCCAGACAGGAATGGAGAAGTAAAACAGAGGGATGCGTTCCCTCGGTTGTGGTGACATTTGTTCACTTGATGTATAACTTGTCCTTTAAAATAAAGAACCACTGTGATCGAGTCACCACTGTGATGCCTGGGAAAACCTTTATTTTTAGTTCCTTTGATATATTTCCAATAGTTGTGTAAAAAAAACTTGTGTAAAGCAATATAAAGGTTATTAAAGATAACATGGTTGTGTTTGGGATCGCTGAAACTAAGTTGCAATGAAAACGAATGCCTATAAACAGGATTACAGCTGCTGTAAAAGAACAGCTCAAAGGAGTACATTTTGTTTTCCTCAGTTGTAATTATATTATTTGTAGGATTTGTACAGCCTCGCAGTTACTGGGATACTGAAATTCAGGGTATTTTTCGTTCCATGCCAACTTCACCCTCTTTATAACATGTGGTAGGAATGTGCACATGTGCGGACTCAATGTAGTGCTCGTTTCTTGTTCTCCTCTTCGCCAACCAACCCACCTCTGACCAGCGTGGTAAAGTGTGGCCAAACAACCCCTTAATGCCAGCATGGCATGGCGAGGCTTTTATCCAGCAGTAAATTGACAAATGGCTGAAAATTATTATGGTTAAATGAGTGTGCCAGTACACAGAACACCATGTGTTAAAACCAAGTTTGGTCACTTGGAAAGTGAGGAAATTATTTTACTGGATGAATGTGTGCTAGTGTTATTTGACTGTGCTGAGCCAGAGCTTTGAGGGTAGAAATCTGTCTGGGACAGAGGTCAGCAACCTGCGGCTCTGGAGCCACATGCGGCTCTTTAAGGACTACTTCGTGACGTTATTTATTAAGGACCGTTTCATATTCGTGTGGATTGCGGCTCTTGAATTTTTTTTTTTTACCGAATTGGAAAAAATGGCTACTTGTTATTTTGGTTGCCGACCCCTGGTCTGGGACAAAACAATCCACTGGTCTGTAGTTCCTGGTTGAGCAGTTCCACTGCTGGGTTATTTTTTCAGCCTGAGGACGACCGCTTGTGTTGCGATCGAAACGTCGTGATATATAATTTTTTATTTTATTTTTCGACCTACATGAATTTACCGAAAAAAAACAAAGAGTATGGATTCCTGCAGTCACGAAAGCTTCAAATCAAGATTGGTCTGTACAGTTGATGGGAGTGTGCCCTCCCTTTGCTGTGGATGCAGCGTTATGGCATTGCTGGTGATGTGCCCACAGGCTGGGCAGTACGGTGTGGCGCAGACGCGGCGCAGGGCGATAATCCTCGCAGCCGCCCCAGGAGAGAAGCTGCCGTTCTACCCCGCGCCCCTGCATGTGTTCGCCCCGCGCGCCTGCCAGCTCAGCGTCGTGGTCGGCGACAAGAAATACGTCAGCAACGTCACCAAGTACGCAACGCTCGCATGCAGTGGAGCATCAATTGTAGAGTAATAATAATGCCTTTTACCCAGGAAAACATCACCGAGTGTCAGCAATCTTTTCCAGAAGACTTTTTGTACAATGGGATATTTGCACAGTTATGCTCATGAGCAGATTTGGCATGTGTATGTGAGAAAATCGGACTTCCTGGATAAACCCATGCATAAGTTAATCGATGCAGAATAATACTGCGAAGGAAAGATTGTGTAATAATTATCTTGTTAAGAACAGTTTACCGATGCTTTTTAATCCGCTTTGTGCCTTTCTAACTTGGACGTTGACATGGTCCAGCAGTCGTAGTGTGTTTGCTGTTTGTTGCAGAGGTTCACAGTGGCTGCCCTGATTAATGTTGCGGGGCGTATTAACCACACAAATACTCACTTTCAGCTTCACAGTGGATGTTAAAGAGATCCCATGACGTAATTCGCAAGAGTAGGCCGTTGTGCGATGTCGTGCTAGTCCAAATGTTTTTATGTACCTGCAGATAACTATCCGAATATGCATAGCAATCTTCACCCCTTAGTGTGAAAACTTGGTAGGACCCTCCAGAAAAAAAGAGTCCTGAGTCTCGGGTGAGACTTTCCTGGGTAAACAAATGGTATAATAACTATGTAACCTTATATATAAATGGAAAACACTCCTTGCAGACTGCAACTTGAGTACATCACTGAAACTGCGCACACTGAAATGCTACATCTGGTCAATTTTGCTGTACGGAGTAGAGACGTGGACACTGACAACAACAGCAACAAAAAGGCTCGAAGCTTTCGAGATGTGGCTGTATCGAAGGATGCTGAAAATCCCATGGACAGCCAAAACCACCAATACACAAGTTCTGCAAGATATGGGCACTGACAGGCAACTGCTGAAGACCATCATTAGCAGGAAGTGTTACTACCTAGGCCACATTGCCCGAAACGACCACAAATACCAGCTATTAAAGCAAATCCTGGAAGGAAAAATCGAAGGGAAAAAACGACCAGGACGGCCAAAAACGACATGGCTCAGTAACATCAAAACATGGCTACAATTAACAAGAGCACAAACTCTACACGCCGTGCTAGACCGGGACCAATATCATCGTGAAGTCGCACACGCCGTTAGGCAGCACTAAAGAAGAAGAATACCTTATATCTCCTTGCTCGCTGCACTCCAGAAACCACTGCCATCTTTCCTTGCCACATATCAAGCTTTACTCATTGGGAGCCCAGTGGGAGACCAAGAAAGCTTTGCACAGCGGTAGAACATTCAATGGGCTTCACACAGCAGTGGAAAATTTAATTTCAAGGAAAATTAATGTAGCAGGGCTGGATCAATGCTGATTTTTTAGTGATTGTAAGCCAAAATGGTTGTGAATGTATGTTCATTATTTTTTGGGGGTAACATTTACTCGGGTACAAGCTTTCCTGTACCTAATGACTAGTTAGAGCACCAAACCATTATTACTTTTTGAGTCGATTTTAAAGTGCATTGATATATGTGTGAACTCGTGCTGGGAGTTTTTTTTTTGCAGGAATATAATTTGAATCCTATTTTTCTTCCATGGATAATCCTTGCAGAGATCGTTATTCTTTTACCCTGGAGTGCCATATTAATATCTCCATTATAGCAGTGTTAGCGTCCTGTCTTGTTCCAGTTCTTGGAATCTACTGGAATCCCCTTAATTTGAATGGAGCATCCAGAATGCTCAATACTATTTGTGGTGATTCTGTAAGTGGATCCTGCAACTCCGTTTAAATAAATTAGATTTGTACACCCTAATAATTATTGCCAATTCCCAGGATCGCCACTAGATTGCATGCTTTGGCAATTCCATGCTTTGGCATTTCTGTATTTTTAAAAATGCTAGAAATTCTACAGTCCCAATGATCCCTTTAGGCATTGTGTTCTGTTTCTGGAGACTAATTGCAGAAATCCCATCGTGGTTTTGTGTTGGGGATTGTAAACATTTACTACCGCTGTTGTAGACAATATTAGTCTCATTAGTTGTCATAATACGAATACTCGCTTGACACCATTAAAATTCGTAAGGCGGGCAAAAAAGCAATGGGTTCTAGGGATGCGACAAACAAATATATAGCGCTTGTGAATCCACGTCCTGCTGAGCACATGCTTATGGACACATGCATATATTTTGCTGCTGAATGCAGGGTGTCCTCTGCTCCGTTCCGCACAATCACCGTACGGGACACCATGTCGGACCTTCCCGAGATTCGCAACGGAGCCTCGGCGCTTGAGATCTCCTACAACAGCGAGCCACAGTCCTGGTTCCAGCGGCAGATCCGTGGCATGCAATACCAGCCAATACTGCGCGACCACATCTGCAAGGCCAGTACCCACAGTGTGTCATTGACAAACATTGATCTTGATGTATTTCTCCCCCCCTTTCGATTATATTCTGGTTGTGGTATCAACGTCATGTCATGAGACTAGGAAATGGCATTTCTGAATTCAAGCTTCTAGTGGTGTACCACCTTGTATCAGAGAATAGCCCCCTAGAATGTCACGTAACTACTTTTAGAATGTTATTTTATTAGGCCCCTTTATTTACACAATGTAGGCATGCTCTTTTATGCCCAGCCAAGTGAGTTTCTTGTAATTATAAAGTTAAATGTTGTATTCTCAAAGCTGGAATAATCCTAATTATCGATCTCGGAACCATTTCTAAAAATGTATGTTACCCATACTCAAACTCAGGATCTCAGTCATGCTGGCCTTGTTTCTCTGACTTCTGAGCCACCTTGCTACGTTTTTTGTTGACTTGCATTTTAATTCGCTTGCACACATAAAATCCAATGTGCTGCTCAAGTGAGAGCTTTGGATTTAACGGCATATGCAGAGCAACTGTCAGTAAATCAGTCCTCAGTCGGCTGCCCTAACCTTTTCTAAAACAGGTGGTAATCCAGTGAGAGAAATTAAGGCTCTACATTGGCAATTTTATTCAAGCATAAAACAGTTCCTATATTTCGATGTAAAGCTTTCGTGACTGCAGGGATTCATCTTCTTGGTTCTTTCGTTAAAGTCACGTAGAAGGGAAGTAATAAAATAATAAAAATAAAACAATTCTCACGACGTTTCGGCTACAACTCAAGCAGCCGTCTTCAGGTGAAGAATGGTAGTGTCTCATTCTTCACCTGAAGACGGCTGCTTGCGTTGTAGCCGAAACGTCGTGAGAATTGTTTTATTATGTTTTATTTTTATTATTTTATTACTTCCCTTCTACGTGACTTTACCGAAAGAACCAAGAAGATGAGTTCCTATATTAAGTAACATTTTTAACAATGGCTCTCCATTAGGGTAGAGAGAGGCTTATAGTTGAAGTCTGCACTGTGTAGTATGGTGCCTTGAAGACACAAGCACAGCTGTAAAATGATTATGCTATAGATTGGTCTCTCAGGACGGTCTCCCTTTTGGAAGACCAACATGACAAAAAAAATGAAGCATGCAAAACCAAGGGTGCAAGGTACAAAGAAAATAATATGTGCAATGGTGCAATTATTTACAGCTCCGCTACGTGATCTGGTTATTAATGTCCCTCGTGCATTTACCAAATGTTCAATTCCACAATACTAGCTAACAAAATCTGCATGGATAGTGGGATTTGACGGTGCTTTTTTATTCCCCCCCCCCATTGTTTTGAGCTGTCCAATGTGTTTATTGATCCGCATGCTTATGTCAGTCTGCACCATCAACCCTGTAGCCTGCACAATCAGCTTGGCGAGATAAAACTGGGAACACTAGATGCTGATCGAGTCCTCTCCTTCCTTACCCTCTCCAACCTTTTTGTGGAACCATATTTATAGAACATAACAGCTTGGCCAAAGCGACCTAAAAACACGCTCAACCATTGCAGTTAATGACCACACACACTTGCCTTCAGCCATTCCTTGACGAATAATTGAATGTTAACAAACACTTCAGATTACGTGATGCAGTGTGCTTGGGTTTTTTTTTTGCTTTCGATTTGCTTCATTCCACCGTGAACATGAAAGGGGGTTAACATGAAAGATGACATCAATGACACACCTTTTATAAAGACATCGGTTTCAGAAAAAAGTGTGCTTTCAAAATTGATTTCATCAGTGTTAGTTAACGCTCAATAGGTTTACATTCTGCAGTTGGGTGTAGCGAGCCAGTCTTTGGCTCACCCCCCCCCCCTCCCCGGTGGCTTTTGCTGAGCGTTGTTTGACACGGTGTGCAGCCTGTGCTGTTAGAACGCTGCATCCGCTGGGGTACGGTGATATTCAGCCCCTGGTATGTGGGTGGGCGTTGGCGGCTGAGTGCGTGTGCTGGGCCACGTGCCTGGAGCACCATTCCCTGGAGGTCTCCCACGCACGTTGTTGAAAACCGTGCGGCGCTTTATAACAGCCAAAACAGTGGATCGGCAGCGCGGGTGTGCAGGAGTGTTTAATGGGCAGTGGAGTACAGTTGTGATGTTATTTTGGGTTTTTGTTCTTGTTATCAATGGATGAACCCTCAAATTTGTTCTTAAAACACTGTACTAGGCATAGAAGGGAGAACAACACAAATTAAACCTTTGTCAATAGTGAAATCAATACGTTTTATCCATACTGAGTTGCCCTGTATTCATGTCCTCTCTAACCAACTCGGCGAAAGACACTAGTTGTAAGAGGAATGCCTTGGCAAAAAACGTTTGCCAGTTTACTCCCAAACCCCCTGTGAGCTGGTACAGTAAAACATATGTAATTCTGTTTGCACAGACCTTTATTGCTTGGGTTTTCTCTGGGTACTTGTTTCCTCCCAAATGCAATGCATTGCTAAAAAAGGAATTTGACAAACATTATAACATCCGACCCTTTTGGAAGTCCTTGAGATTCAACAAAGCTTTCCTGCAGAAATAAATTGCATTATTATATATTTTATATCAACGATGGAAACGAGTGCCGCAATTAATTCGGGGGCATAAAAAATTAGGCGAGTAAATACCTTGGTTTAAACATCGCTGACTAAAACTCCGCATTTGGTACTTTGCAGGACCTGAGCCCACTTGTGGAGGCACGCATGCGTTACATCCCGCTGGCGCCCGGCTCGGACTGGCGTGACCTGCCCAATATCGAGGTGCGACTGTCCGACGGCACCACCTCCAAGATCCTGCGCTACACGCACCACGACCGCAAGAACGGCAAGGGCTCAGCGATGCTGCGCGGAGTCTGCTCCTGCTCCGAGGGTACGGCTGACGTTCAGAGGTGGCGCGTTGGTGAAATGGCCTTTACCGTTCTGTTTTTGGGAGAAAAAACGACTTATATGATGACATTAATCCCCCCCCCCCCTCTGGTATTTGCACCTGATAGCCTTACAGTGATGACATCACCTTTAATCTATTTAAGACCGAAACAGGAAGACTTTTTCACAATTCTGGCTATCGCCTGATGAGGCTGGTTGTAATCACCAGCGACACGTTGTGCTCAAATTGTAATTATTGTGGGTTTACTCTCCAACACACTGGTGTGCTGTAGTAGCAACAGATTGGCATGTTTTATTTATGTGGCAAACCTTACTCATTGACCATGTCAGTTGGTGGCGGGTTTAACTACACGTTTATGTTTACGCGCTCTAACCCAAAAAAAAACTCTGATAAAAAAATATGTATTACATTCCTTACAAAGTGGGAAAAAACATCAAAGCTGTTTCAAACCATTTCAAGATCTGAATTTGGCCCAGAGAGTGTCTCGGTGCACAAATCAGTATTTGACAAAACAAGAATAATAGGTGACTGCATTTGCAGTGGATCACAGGCACAAGTAAAAAAACTCACCACGTCAATCGGTATCACTGCCTCATAATGGAGAATATATTTAGTAGGCTAACATTTTGACCAACAGCCCTTCTTTACAGAGAATAGCGAGAATGGCTTATAGCTAGTTGGCACGTCACACTGTGGGGCTTCCAGAACACCTGCAAATTAAATATATATACACATATATATTTGGCTCTCCTAAGCAGGTGGTTGCAATTCTAGATTCTTGTGCAGATGAGTCCCTCCGCAGAACAACCACTTTTGACTTCCAACAAAGTGGTATTAACTAACTGTTTGATGTATCATTTTGCCACTCGTGCTTTTTTTTATATTTAATAGTTTTATCTCAAGCTGTTAGAAATGTTTCAACTGGTTTAAAATTCTCCTGACTAAGCATTTAAGGGCGTAAATATTTATTTGCGATCGATACCAGTAACCACATGGGTCTCAATTAAGCCACCGCAGACTGTGCCTTTTCTCCACATTTGTGCCAGAATTGACTGCTGCATATTAAGCACTTTTCTTGTGTTGTCGTGTAGGGACACGCACATAGCACAGAAGCACGCGAGGCTAGATGATCTTGTCAGGAGTGTTTAATGAAGAAAAATAACGGGGAACCGCATTGCCAATGTTTGATGATCTTGAGCTGTGCATACCTCTTTCTCTGGAGAGACGATAATTTTATGTACTGTGATCCATTTTTCTCATTGACCGCCACTAAGAGCAATTGAAAACAGTCACTCAAGCATTCTAATTTTCCACTCATCTTCGCATCATGAACATTTCCCGTAAGCGAGGCTTAATACGATTATCCACTATGGTCCATTGGGTGAATTGCACAGTTATAAATACATAAAGTTGGAAATAATTCATCATTTACCTGTAAAGTAATACATCTCTTTTTTTGAGGAGAATAAAGCACGCTTTAGCTATTATAATAAGCTTAACTTAAGTGGTGATTTGGGCAGGAGTTAAGAATTTCCTTGAATGCAGTGAGTAGGTATATTGTAATACTTGTTATGCAGTATGAAATGTACTATGAAATATTTGGCTCGGCTTAATTTGGTGCATGCCTTGAATTGAGTGCCAAATCATGGCTTTAACAATTTATCAGTAATAAATGATGCAGACTACACAAACGTCTGATGGCCCAGTTTTTCCTGACAGGTCTTAAAGTCTGACAGTCCATTCCTTTAATGGATCACCAGAATTAGCAGTTAGCGTGTGAATTAATGTCTTCAAATTCAAATGAAAAAGAAAATCGTTGCCTTTACAGAGTTTATTGTTTTGTGGTATTAAGTTTTAACGTACCATATACTGGTAGGAACCACCTGGTTCCACCAGCCCACAGGGGAATCTGTGTCTGTCCGTCGTGCATCCGAAAATGGGAGGGGTGGGGGAGGGAGGGAGGGGCTGGATGGGGAGGGTGGGGTTGGGTGGGGGGTGGGGCTGGGTGGGGCTGGGTGGGGAGGGGGTGGTCACCCCGTGGTGCCCTTATAAAACTCAACGTTTAACCTACTCACGCCGGCTTGTGCCCGCCCTCACAGTCGGCCATATTTGCATAATACACCACGCCGCCATTAACCCTGGCCATTGACCGAGTGACCGAGCAACCCAACGTTCCTACCAGCTCCCTCCGCAGGAATGTGTTTGGACTACTCTCAAACAGTTTTTCCCCCCCACCATTTGTGGTGATCATCCTCTCCAATCCCCCCCCCCCCCCCTTTCGCGCACTTGCAGGCAAGCCGTGTGACTCCGCGGACCGGCAATTCAACACATTGATCCCCTGGTGCCTGCCGCACACGGGAAATCGGCACAACCACTGGGCCGGTCTGTATGGACGGCTCGAGTGGGATGGCTTTTTCAGCACGACCGTCACCAACCCCGAGCCAATGGGAAAGCAGGTAACTTGAGCCACACGTGGCAGAGCCAAGGGTTGCATCGTCCTTGAACTTTGCAAAGGGCAATTCATTGTGCTGCACTTACTGACTGTGTTTCTTTCCGCAGTGAATCCAAACACTGACCTATACGCAAACACAAACGTTTACATTTACATGTACACCTTTGTTATGAAATCCATGTGATTACCTTGTCCAGAATATTTCCTGAATCTTATTTTCTAAGAACAGCCGAGCATATTAAGACTGGTCAAGAGTAGGTATCAGGCTCTTGTCATGTACAAGCAATAATCACAAAAGTGCAGTCATTTTTTTAAAGTCTTTGTCCCAAATTATAAACATTAGATGCGTGATCCCATAGAAGAATTACATTTCTTAAAAATTAAAAAAAAAGTCTTATTAATGCCTGCTTGATATGCTAGTTTAATACGTTGTATCACAAAAATTGTAATCCAGGAATAACTAAAGTAACCATAACTACCTGCGTTTACAGCTACAATATATTGTGTATTAAGCTTATGCTTAATGAACATAGCTTGTTCATAAATGCCAGCTTCCAAAACAAAATGATTTATAGCAGACTGCTTTTTTCACACAACTTAATTTTAATGAGTTTTGTGATGAGAGAAAAATCAGCTTTGTAAATCTATAAATTAATAAAGCCGTGGTTTTATAAGTCGAGGCATTTTAGACTTGCCAATTTGCTTAATAAATGTGCGGGTAATCGAGTGGTTGCAGGTTAACTGCTTCTCGGTGTGCACAGGAGATGTGCTACAGGTGATTAATGGCGTTAGCCAAATTGGAAAGCAGCCTTCCTGCTTAATAGGTATAACAACATTATTTCCACGGCCCAAGAAACATTGTCACCCAGTATCCGCCAGAAATGTATTTCATGTCTGATTTTTTTGGATAATTTCTCAATATTGTCGCCCTAAGTTGATTTTGTTGTTGCTTTTAATGTAACTTAAATTATTGCCTCAATTGCCGTTAGCAGCATTATTTCAACCGTACTTTTGTTGAACACATTTGTTTTTTTATTTAATTGTTTCTTGAAAGCTTGCTGCAATATGATACAACTTGAATTAGTTGCAAAATGTTTTTAAACAAGTTGTGTTTGGCTTTTTAACTCATTTCTCAAAGCAATACAATAAGGTTCAGCTGCCCGAGAGAGGTGTGTCTAGGTAACATAACTGAAAAAAATTAGGCTTGGGTTGCTTTAACATGGGTTTCATTTCGATTTAAAGCTTTCGTGACTGCAGGGATTCATATTCTTGGTTCTTTCGGTAAAGTCACGTAGAAGAGAAATAATAAAATAATAAAAATAAAACAATAAAATTCTCACGACGTTTCGATTGCAACACAAGCAATCATCATCAGGTGTGAAAACCACAGCAAGAAAAAAACGCTACTTTTTACAAAAAAATTCTTGCTGTGGTTTTCACACCCGATGATGACTGCCTGTGTTGCAATTGAAACGTCGTGGGAATTTTATTGTTTTATTTTTATTATTTCCCTTCTACGTGACTTTACAGAAAGAACCAAGAATATGGGTTTTATTGCTAATTTCAATTTAGCCTCATATTAGTCATTACCATCACCAACAAACACTCAACATATGTAGCAAAACAACTTATTCTCAGCCCCTTCATAGTCGCACAAATAATTATCGCAGCATATTTATATAATCACAAGTATTTAAGAATATGAATATTTAATCAAGTACATATTTATTACCAAAGACATGAACAAAATGTTATTGGGAAAGGGTGAAAAGTAGTTTGTCAGATTTAGCAGGTGGGATAAATTTAAAGTCGCAATGCCAACCTGTCCATCAGGGTGAATTTTGGCAGCCACAGCTGACTTCCAACACCAAAAAAATATGGGAAAAGATACGGACATTGGGTCCACTGGACGAGCTAAACTTGACGTTAAATTCGACCCACTTTGACCCCTTGGCTCGTGCACAAGCAGGTGAGGCATCCTAATGATGTCAGGGATTTCAATAACTACCCATTGCGCTTGACAGCTGGGATATATGCTGTATGGCGGCCTATATGAGAGCAAGCAGGAGTGGTGGAAAAGCATCGGTGTGCAGCCAAACGTCCCCTTCCCACACTGTAGGCTTCAGCAATGGTGCCGCACTTGTACTTAAATTGTATTTCTCTCGCAACACATTTCTGTGTGCGTTCGCACCCTGACGATTGTGGTTACGGTTTATTTGTACGTTGGCCGCCGGTATGCTCCGGTTCAATACTAGTTCTATTAATTTCCTGTATTAGTGGAACCCCACCTCATCACGTTTCTTCAGTGTTCTGCGCTGTGCTGGGTGTAGAGTGTTTAGCTCTCGCTACTATTTAGAATTTAGATGTCTATGAGGAGCTAAAGCTTAAGATCTTTTTACCTCGGCTGGACATTCAAAACGTCCCGCAGGTAATATTACCGGCTGTTGCCATGAGTTAGCGCAACGCAGCGTTTTTCGTTAGTTATTTGCTGTGTGTGCAAGTACTGTATTAGTGCTGGAATTTTGTTTTCAACAGAATGTGCCCGCGCATGCCAATAAGTGCCATAATTACGGGACTAGATTTAAGGCATTACCCTCACGAGATAGGACAACGTGGAGATTGTGCATTTGGTGTCAAAAAGCCACGGAGAAATGGGGCTCCGGTGCTTTTATGAGGCCACTTTATTCTTTCCAAGTATGAGGCAGCATGATATGCGATGGGTGCGGTTGCCCCTTAGAGGTTGCCTCTTTGGGGGTTTCCCCTTAGGAGCTATTGCTGGGCCCGTGCTCGCGTGACAGTGGCCTAGAACGGAGTTCGTTGGTGTAAAATCAGAGCATGTCGGTGGCCAACTAAAAGCCGGGTTTAACATAAGCCGTACTAGACCCTGTTTTCACTACGCGCTGCATCATTTTCACGTCATACAGGCTGTTTTTTGAGTAACCCTCCTCTATGGGAGGACTCGGGGGAGGAGAAGGTTCGTGACATTTTTTGCCCGTGTGATTTTTTTTCATTTGTTTCTACTCGTTGGTACATGTGTCTGTGTTACCATTTCAGGGTCGCGTGCTGCATCCCGAGCAGCACAGGGTGGTGAGCGTGCGGGAGTGCGCGCGCTCACAGGGCTTCCCCGACACCTACCGCCTGTTCGGGAACACCCTGGACAAACACAGACAGGTGCTGTCACATCTGCCATTCTTCTCGAGATGAACATGCAGCACATTGGCTTAATGGGCGTTTGTGCATATCAGAGTTGTTATTATTATCAAACATGATCGATCCACTGGTAGATAAAGTTTTCCTCAACCCACTGCCATCTCTCGTGGATCTGTGATGTGACAATCCACTGAGCACTTGCACACGATATGATTTTATTGAAACATCTTCCACGGTGGATGTCCTGTTGACCTAGTTCCATTCCTTTGCTGCCACTGGTGCTGTTCTTGACCACTGGCCATTATCCCTTAAGGCGGTATGTCTTGCCCAAGCACACTTTTTTTTACAGTTTAAATTTAGTTTTTAACCTGTAACCATGTATTCTTCTTTCTGTCTGCCAGTCGTAGTAATTTATGAGTACAGTTCTTGTGAGTTAAATAAGGAGGAATTATGAATGTAACCATCTATTTTGCCAGTTTAACTTTATTTATTGGCAGCAAATTGCCTGTAAATGAGAAGGAATATCATGATGTGGTAAAGCATGCAATAATTTGTAGCCTTCAAAACTTCACTACAATACTATTTTATACCATGCTGATGTGCTAAAATAGCATCAGAATTCTACTTTGTGTAAATCACCTTTATAACATGGGGATTGATAAGCAACAGAACATTATTGATCTTATCTTGTTAGATTACTAACAATTAAACAGTTGCACACCTAACAGTAATTTATACTCTTTGGGTCTTTCGGTAAAGTCACGTAGATAGAAAAATAATTTAAAAAATCACGATGTGTCGATCGCAACACAAGCAATCGTCTTCAGGTGAAAAAATACAGCAGGCGGACTGCTGAGGCAGGAAGAAATGTAAGTTATTTATAGTTTAAGCGTAGAACTTAATAGAAAACCAGATATTTACACCACTAATATTTTAGTGACCAATTCCAAAGCTCCAGCTGTGCTTCTGATGTGTGTACTTAAACATGTCAGTCGACGCTGCCAATAAGACAATTTGATGTGCTGTATTGCCAAAACCAGATTTTGATTTTCATCTTTTCTGAGCAATGGATATGAACAAGTTAATACATTTTCCTTTTTGTTGTTGTGTGTATATATTCTTGCATATGTTTGCACAGAGTGGGAATTCTGGCTCCACTATATACCACTGCCAATTATATTAATAGCCTTGACCATCAATGGAAATTGGTGTCCTTTCTTAGGTTGACTCGACAGCTATTCCGTAACTGGTGGGGCATTGCAACAACAGTGCGGAGAAGCTGCCAGTTGTGATCCTGGCATGGGCCACTTAATGTAAATTTGAGTTGTTTATTTAACACTTGTTTACCCAGTAAAGCCTTACTGAGTCTCAGGTGGGTCCTGCCATGTATTTGCAGTCAGGGTCAATTTTGCTTTGTGTTTTATCAATCGAGTAATATGTAGTTAATATTTCAGCATTTGGATATTTGGCCAATACCATAATACAGGTTTTTTTGGGTTAGATTGCATAAATATATAAATGTGTCGTTAAACCCGCCACCACCCGACACAGCCAATTAGTAGGGTTTGTCACGTAAACAGGACATTCCAATTCGTTACTAGTACAGCACACCGGTGTGTTGGAGAGCCAAGCCACAACATTTACAATGTTGTGGGTTGTGGCGGGTTTAACGACACATTTATATATTTACGCGATCTAACCCAAAAAAACCTGTATTATGGATGATATTGGTCGCGAAAGCCTGCTACGTGTTAAACTGGCTAATACAGTATGTATGTTGAACTTCGAACGTACCAACCGTGTTAATCGGAGGTGCGGGGGAAGGACAACAAACTAAATACAAATAGCAGGTCCGTTACATTGTAGGTTTTTTAGCTTTGGTAAGAAACCTATATTCAGAACCAGGGGGAGAACATACAAACCCAGACACGTCTTTGCTGTGAGGTGCAAGTGTTAACACTCCTGCCACCTTGCTACCCATAGATGATCACTTAGAGCAGTTGCTTCCACAGTACAAATGGGCTAAAAGCAAAATGTATATTTGTATGGCCTGTATATATTATTGTGTTGAGCATGCCTTTTGTTATTTTGTGTGTCTCTGATGTACAGGTTGGGAATGCAGTGCCACCACCTCTGGCAAAAGCAATTGGACTGGAGATCAAAAAGTGTGTGGAGCAGTCCAGAAAGAGCGAGCTGGCTAAAAATGGTAATCCATTAAAGTTGCATTTTGGCATTTGTACCCGAGGTAGACGTGAAGCTTGGCCAAGTGTAAGCCAAAAAAAATGCTATCTGTATTTCATTTTTCTCTATCCTTTTAGTGCACATCAGTGGTTTTCACATTGGCACAAAAATGTATGCACTTGATATATTTCGATTTTAAGAAATTTCTAAGTTTAGTTAGAATGAGTGTGAGGGTATCGGGCATCATTACTTTCCAAAGGTACTTTGCTTCGTGTTGAGGTTCATTACTGGAGTCTGGTAATGAGGCCACATTTGCACCAGTGAGTGACAAAATGCTGGAAAATTCGGCACTTCAGGTCAAAGTGATTTGTGCACTGCTTATTTTGAAAATGCAATGAATCGTGGAAGTATTTATTCTCCCTTTAGCCGATTACGTGGCTGAGTGGACATGTGCTGAACAAGCGCGTGCACACAAGGGGTTAGTGGATGAATAACATTATACTGGATTTATTGAATTATGAGCAATGGTATGTAGACCAGGTGCTCATTTAAGGGTGATGCTCCATGTGGGAAGACTTGCAGTGGCTATGGAGGCCAATTAGAAGCCAATTAAACCATTCAAATTTCTACTGGGACAGGTTAGAATATCATTATGCTGACTTTATGAATGAAAATCCAGAAGGTGCCATTGTTAATGTAAAAAAACATGTAAACTTTATGCAATTAAAAACTCCATAGTAATTAACGACTTGTTTCACTACATGAAAGCGTAAATATAACATACTATTTATCGTGAAATATTTCACTTCGCTTTAAATGTAAATGAATATATAAGAATGCATTGGTCTTTTGTGTAAACTGTTTTTGAAAAATTTCCCTGCCGGTGATGTCTCCATAGATTGGCTCGCAATGTTTGCGTTTTAAATGTGATACCATATGAGTGAGCTCAAATGACTTGCGCGATTACATTTTGTACTTTGATTTGATTTCACTGCATGCAGTACGGTTTGTTCTGCATGAGCTAACATGCGTTTGTAATGTTCTCCAGTTAATAACTCGCACGCGCTCGGCTACTGGATGTAAAAATATCATTACCACTCTTGCTTTTAATGCAAAATCTAACATGTTATTAGTTGTACGGTGAGAAGGTAAGTCAAAGAAATCTTCTCGCATAGTTTTTTCTGCTTTTTAAATTAACTACTTGTTTCACCTTCACTGTTATACCACAACCGTACCTCACTGATAATTCTGATGTTAATTGCACAAGTGAACGTCATAACAAAATACTTCCACACACACCACGTTTCTCATGGACACATTGTCTCGTGGTTCATCTGACATTTACAAAATGCAGCAATGCATCTGCACAAGGCCTATTGAATATATCTCTGTCTTACCACTGCCTTTGTCAACTGCTCATGACTGTACAATCAATATTGCAGTAGAGGTATTGACATGAACGTGTATATGCATTTTCTTTTTACATAAGCTGTGAAAATGGACACGTCTTCCTGAATCATCAGTCCTGCTGGCCCCCTGACTCCAAGACCGTAAACGAAGTTCAACAGAAAAGCTATGAATGGGATGAAGGACATGGGAGGGGAATAGAGATGAAGATATTAAGAGTAATAGGGCAGTGAAAGATATTTGCTGTTGGGCGCACAACACAGATGGCATGTGGTGATATAAAATGTACTAAAAATATTTACACATTTACATCGTGTGCCAAGTATGTAAAGTTAAAATGGGATGGGTCTGCATCAGAATTTTAAATTGATGTTCGTAAACGGTGTGTTCCTTACTCCAATGCAGTAAAACATGGTCTTGGGCATAATCTGCAATTTTATCTTGCAACTATTTCAGGTTTTTTTTACTCAATTTTTAATGAACACTGTTCTAATGTTGAGTAAACCTATCACACCTGCATATATCTATATTTTAATCTCTTACATTTTCTGGAATTTAACAATTTACAGTTTGACAAGTGTTTATTTTGTTTCATGATCATTTTTGATTAAATATTTCAAAGTTTTAACTGATTAAAATGATGGTGTCTTATAAAGTGACCATGGATTAAAGTTTTTAAAACGTTTAAGATGTTTTTAGACTTTCCTGTTAGTGTGTTTTTCCTACAACCAGTTTAACTTGTTTTAAATCTTCACATTTTTCATCAATAAAGTTTGTATTTAAACAGTTTTGTCACTTATACGTTCTGGTGGATGACAATACTTTGTTGGTGTCAAACAGGGCTTGTCTCGAATCACCATGCCTATTTAACTTTATTGAGACCAGTTATTGTCACACTCCCTTGAATAATTTAACAGTTTTGGAGGAATACCTGCAATCTTTGGCCTGCAGTTTATATAAATGTCATTGCAGGGTCAGCAGAGGAATAATCAGATCTAACACAGACGAAGACTGGTGAAACATGTAGAATGGAAATGAGTGAAGAACAAGTTGATGGGTGCTGGGAAAAATTGTAAAACAGTAGCTAAAGGACACGTCAAAAGAGAAACACTGGAATGAGTGGCCTTTTTATTTATGGGAAAACAGAAAACGGATCGGAGAATTATATAAAACAGGAAAACGAAAGACATTTCTCAAGTCGAAAACTCATCTAATTTTGAACAATAATATACTAGATATGGCATATCCTAGACACTAACAAATGACCCCAAGAAGAGAGTGGGCGTTTGAGATGTGGTGCTTCTGAAGACCACTTCCAACTCCTTGCATTACTCGTGCAAATGAGTTGCTTTGTGCAGATGTGACAACATTTGGGTACAGGAACCACTACTGGCCGTAGAAAAGAAACGGAAGGTGCATTGGTTTAGGCATAACCCTTGAAGAACCTTCTTGGTTCTTTTGGTAAAGTCACGTAGAAGGGAAGTAATACAATAATAAAAATAAAACAATAAAATAATTCTCACGACGTTTCGGCCACAACGCAAGCAGCCGTTGTGGCCGAAACGTGAGAATTATTTTATTATGTTTTATTTCATAATCAACGTTTTTGGGTTTAGATCGCGTTTATTTATAAATGTGTCGTAACCCTCCACCACCCGACACGGCCAATCAGTAAAAATGTGTCACGTTGACAAAGACAAATAGTTCACTGCTTTAGCCCACCGGTGTGTTGAAGCCACAACATTTACAATTTGAGTACGACGTTTCGCTGGTAATCGCAATCAGCATCATCGGGCAATTCGCCAGAATGGTGAGGCTCTGCTGTCTCCCGTTATATAGAGCAGCAGCAGGGTGACGTCATCATTAACTCATCAACTCATCAGGTGCAAAGATTCAAGGGGGGAGTGATTGTAATTATATACTAGATTAGTAATCAGGCTATTGTTACGATGCGAGTTGTAGATTAATAATCATTTGGAATGTTGTTTTTGTGATTATGCTACATTAGTAATCAGTTAATGATTGTTTCCCTTATAAGTAATTGTAATTATCTTATTTAATAATACGCTTCCAGGCCGCACTAAGCCTGTAGCTGTCTGAGCGATTAAAGTTATTTCTGTTTCTCTCAATTGCAATCGATTCTCTAATTAGTCTTTGCCAGTAGTAACTAGTTTTACACAACACTTCCACGTTGTCAAAATCAATTGAGTGTCCCTGTTGGCATGCATGTTCTGCTACTGCCGACAGTTGTGTTTGTGACTTTACCGAAAGAACCAAGAAGATGAATCCCTGCAGTCATGAAAGCTTTAAATCGAAACCTTGAAGAACCGTTGGACTTTTCAACACTATCCTGCAGGGTCCAGTCAAAATCAAGTTGAAGAGGTCGGTCACGGGCCAGCTGTATGACCATCGTGTTTATAAAAAGGAATATCAATGGCGGACATAAGATGTTAAAATACCGCAAAAGGTAGAAAAGAGCGTTGATTGCTAAAGCACTGCTGACACCCACAATGTGCACAGTTAAGGGACATGATATATAAGAAGGGCAGGGGTGCGAAACCTTTTTTTCGAACGTGGCGGTCAGGTTCAGAATCCCACCTCGCGAACCGAGAGATTGTCAAGAAACTTGCGGACATGACATTCGTTGCATTTGCGAGAGTGTCACGTTCACAAACGTGACGCCCATTCGCATCATTATAAGCATATTCATGGCAAACAGACCGGCCACGTTTGCCGAGCGTGTGTACATAAGAGCCCTGCGTGCTTGCAGGCCGTGTAAGACCGGATCGAACCCCTAAAAGCACACGTGGCACACCCCTGACATAAGCTGTTTATTAAGAGTGAAGGGGAAAAAATTAGGTAATATACCCTAACTGTAAATCGCAATCTTCTTATATTACCCATGGATGACAATTTGATTAAAGAAGATTAACATTTATCAACCGAAGGAAGCATGCAGGTCAATCGGGTCAGAACAAAGATGGGCAACTGAATTAGTGCCCAAATATGACCGCTAATTAGGTGTGCGTCTGTGGCAGGCAATTCTGTTGTGAAAAAGGATGTGGATGTTAAAGAGGCATTGGCTTTACTCAGAAATGTGAAGAATTGAGTGTTGTGGCACATTGACTAAGCCTGTTTGGTAAGACAGGTGAGTGTGGCCGCCTCTCGGCACCGACTGTAATTTGTTTTGAGCTTAGCCTTTGACAGATCACATCAAACAACTCTGCCGGCTTCCGAGCTGCTACATTTCAACAAAAATTACGTCTCAACTGACTCAAAAGCATATGGCTAATTGACCTAGAAAGTAGTATGGAAATGTGTCCCAAGCATTTTAAAATAATTAATATTCAATGTAAATCTTTTGCACGGCGTTCAACATAGCATTTTATGAATAACCAATGGAAAAAAAGTCGACTGCTATGAAAATCATTGTTCTTCAAGGGACAAAAACAGCTCCATTACGCAAACACGTGCTCAATACATTTCATTTCGATTGCAAATTCGGTTGTAATCGTGTATTGTTTCGGCGCACGAGGGGCTGGTTTTTGTTGTCCTATCTCTGCTGTGGTGTTGTCATGGGTCGCACACTGGACTAGCAATCCAGAGGACGCCGGTTCAATTTCATCTGGTGCAGCAGTCGACATAATAGTGCAAGTTTTTTTTTATCCCATAACCTCTTATCCGTCCACCACAGTTGCTCGAGCTGCAGCTCGCCTGTGGTGGGGAAAAGTGTGGGTGAGCCCCACCTCTTCCAAGATATCTGGCCAGCGTGGAAGAGTAGGCCAAATACCCTCTCGAGGGGGCTTTCAAAGCTCCTTCTAGTGGGGGCCCTTCCGTTCGCAGTGTCGTGGAGTGAGCAATTACAGGGCTGCATCTTTCACAATAACGACCTTGAAATAATCAAGGGCGGTAGTGGTTTTCTTAGACATTAATAAAACGACCTATCCCGAGAGAAATGTGCACTCGTGGCAATGGCACATGCATCTGGAGCAGAGACATCGCTTAAATGTCATTTTTTTCTTTACCCTGAGTGCAATCCGGGAAGACATCAACGCATCACTATTTTATTCAGAAGCTTCAGCCGGAATGTCCCACGAACAATGAGGCGTGTGACTTCCCAGAAGAGGCGCTCGATCCATCCATTAAATAACAATCGCGCACAGAGCCCCTGCGTCCAGTGGCGGAGACATCGAGTGCGCAGACGGTGCGAGTGAAACTGCCTCGACTGGACATCTGACCTGCCCCTACTGGACATATGTAGACCTGCCCCTCCTTGACATTTGTGAAAAAGAGCATTATCGGTCATCGGATTTCTCCAGTATGAATACACATTCTGATTGTAAAACTAAAAATAAACATTCCTGCGGCGGGAGCTGGTAGGAACGTTGGGTTGCTCGGTCAATGGCCAGGGTCAACGACGGCGTGGTGTATTCCGCAAATATGGCCGACTGTGAGGGCGGGCACAAGCCGGCGTGAGTAGGTTAAACGTTGAGTTTTATAAGGGCACCACAGGGTGACCAGCCCCTCCCGACCCAGCCCCACCCCTCCCACCACCCAATCCAGCCCCACCCACCCTCCCCACCCAGCCCCTCCCCACCCTCCCCACCCAGCCCCTCCCCACCCTCCCCTCCCCACCCAGTCCCTACCCACCCAGCCCCTCCCTGCACGACGGACGGACACAATAATCCCCTGTGGGCTGGTCTAACCAGGAGGTTCCTACCAGTAAAAATTTTACCAGGTAAGGCTCACAGAGCTGTATAGCTCTTTTTCAGAAGCGACTTGGCCACAAATGATAGCTCAACGAAGTTGCTTATGTGGAAATGTATTGCGACGAAATACTCTCAACGCATGTTTCTAAAAGTGTAGGAAAACCCCGAGGGTCCGGAGAAAAATGTACGCGACTCCGGGGAGAGCATGCAAATTCCAAATATACAGCAGGCGTCAGGGTCGGGATCGAGCCCGCGACCTCCTGCATACCAGGCGAGGTAGTTTACATCTCGCTACCGATTTCTGATCTTAAATGCGCCAGTTACTCGCGGGTTGCACGGGACCCATGCGGGAGTTTGGATAGGAAGAGAGGCAGGGGAATTGAATACGGGGCCCCATTTGATTCCTTGCACCAGGACCCCACCGTCCCCGATGTCAGGTCTACAGCTGTCGTTCGTGGGGGTCGCTTAACCACATTTCACCACACTGGTCAGAGCGGGTTGGTGAAGGGTTAGTGGGGGGGGGGGGCATCTATGGACCGGTTTAGACTCATGTCAGCCATGGCCCGGAATAGAACTGACGTTTGGCTTGCGATTCGTAGCGCCCGTGCTGCAGTATTATTTCCCTGTAAAACAAAAAAACCCCACAATGTTATGATTTACGCGGCATAGATTGGAGCTTGACATTGGCATCAATCAGCACCCGTTTCTCTTAACACCACAAAGCCTCAATAGTGATCAATGCGGTTCTGTCCGTGCTAATCAACTATTGCTTCTTTGATCATCCTGCTTACCAGTCAATGCAACCTGCATTAAACACGAACAACTATGGGGCAAAATGTGAATTTAATGAAGAGTGCATACATATCCCAGTTTGGCGCTACATGCAGCCTCTCTTAATACAGTACCTCGGTGTCCCCTGAGAAACGGTTTGCTATGTGCTAATTAATGTGGTATTCCCTTTTATACAACTCGTAATTTATCAAATGCAGAAATGCCAACGCATTCAGGAATGTGTAATTGCCTGTTTTGATAATTAAGCGACCTAAATGCAAAGCTTCATGAATCCCGG